TGATCCACATCTTTTTTTGGAGAGCACGTTGAGCTCCCAGAATTACCAAGTTAAGATATTCATTTTTTTATTGTAGTCAGCCCCTATGAAAGCTGGTGATTTTAAATATTGTAGATAAAAGAAAATACATGTGTTGTTCTGAGTTTTGCTTGCTAAAGAAGTTTTAGTGTACTATTTGAACATCCATATTGATTTATTTATTTAATTTCTGTTGTCTGTGTCCTATGTTGCTTGATCTCTTCTTAATAGTAATTTTTAAACATAACAAATTTGAAACATCTATTGAAAAATGAATAGATGATGTATACATACCATAGAGAGGTATCAGAGTGCATGGATAGAGATCTGGCCTAAGGGTTGGTACCACTGGAGCTCAGGCCCCTTCTTCAACATATCTTGGTTGTATGATCTATCAAGTCACTTGATTTCTCAGTCTCCTTGGCAGTGTTCTAAATCTGCAAGCTGCAGATATTTGAATAGTATTTGAAATGCATTACTGGAGGGAGTTTCTAACAAAGAGCTCCCAAAGTTGAGGATATCAGAGTCTGAATTAAAAGTCAAGTCAACAAGCATTCATTTAGCACGGTAAGTGGTGCTACATGCCAAGCACTGGGCTGAGTGTTGGGGTACGAGGAAAGGAAGAATGTCCTCTGTCTAATGGGGGTGCAATTGTATAAACAAGATATATACAGTATAAAGTTGAGAAAATCTCAGAGGGAAGCCACTAAGGTTAAAGGAAGATTGAGAAAGGCTTCCGGTAGGTGAGCCTTTAGTTGAGACTTGAAGGAAGCCAGCATGTCAGAAGGTAGAAAAATCTACACACACACACACACACACACACACACACACACACACACACACACACACACACGAGTGGCTAGAGGGCTGCTCTTGAAGTCAGGAAAACCCAGGTTGATGTCCCATTTTTGACACATACTGCCTAAATGAATATGAATATAGGCAAGTCATTTAACCTCTCAGTGTCTCCAGGAAATTGCCTGAGACTGTATTGTTGTTCATTTGTTCAGTCGTGTTCTACTCTTAATAACCCCATGAGCTATAGTGGGCCAGGCCCCTCTACCTTCCACTGTCCCCAGAGTCTGTCCAGTCTCATATTTGTTGGCTTCCGTGACACTATCTGTCTTATCCTCTGCCGTCCCCTTCCCCTTTTGCCTTCAATCTTTCCTAATGTCAGGGTCTTTTGCCAGGGGTGGGAAACCTTCGGCTTCGAGGCTACTTGTGGCCCTCTGGGGCCTCAGCTGCGGCCCTTTGACTGAATCCAAACTTCACAGAACAAACATTTGGATTCAGTCAAAGGGCTGCACTTGAGGACCTAGAGGGGCCCATGTAGCCCTGAGGCCAAAGGCTCCCCATCCCTGGTTCCACTGACTTCTGTCTTCTCATTATGTGGCCAAAGTATTTAGCTTTAGCTTCAGTATTTGAACTTCCAATGAATAGTGTGAATTAATTTCTTTAAATATTGACTGATTTGATCTTGTTGCTGTCCAAGGGATTCTCAAAAGTGTTTTCCAGCACCACAATTAGAAAGCATTGATTCTGAGGCACTCAGCTTTCCTTATAGTCCAACTCTCACAGTCATACATTTTTACTGGAAAAAAATATAGCTTTGACTAGACAGACTTGTCAGCAAGGTGATGCCTCTGCTTTTTAGTATGCTGCCCAGATTCGTCATAGCTTTCCTTCGAATGAGCAAGCATCTTTTAATTTAATTAATGGCTACAGTCGCCATCTGCAGTGATCTTTGACCCCACGGCTATTAAATCTGATGTTGCATCCATTTCCTCTCTATTTGCCAAGAAGTTATGGGACCAGTTGCCAAGATCTCAGTTTTGGTTTTTTTTGATGTTAAGCTTTTATACTCTCTTTCACCTTCATCAAGAACCTTCTTAATTCCTCTTTACTCTCTGCCATCAGAGTGGTATTATCTGCCTATATGAAATTGTTGATATTTCTCCTGACAGGCTTAATTCCAGATTTTGATTCATCCAGCCTGGCATTTCTCATGATGTGCTCTCCATATAAGTTAAATAAATAAGGTGACAGTATACAGCCTTGTCGTACTCCTTTCCCAATCTTAAACCAATCAGTTGTGCCATGCTTGGTTCTAACTGCTGCTTCTTGACTCGAATATAGGTTCCTCAGCAGACAAGGAAGATGATCTAGTACTCCCATCTCTGAGGACTTGGCACATTTTGGTGTGTTCCACACAGTCAAAGGCTTTAGTGTAGTTAATGAAGCAGAAATAGATTTTTTTTTCTGGAACTCTCTTGGTTTCTCCACAATCCAATGAATGTTGGCAATTTGGTTTCTAGTACTTCTGCCTTTTGAAAACCAGCCTGCACTTCTGGTAATTCTCAGTTTACCTATCACTGAAGCTTAGCTTGCAGAGTCTTAAGCATAACTTTGTGAAATGATCACAAGTGTTCAGTAATTTGAATATTCTTTGGTATTGCTCTTCTTTAGGATTGGGATGTGAATTGATCTTTTGCAATCCAGTGGCCACTGTTGAGTTTTCCAAATTTGATGCATATCTGAGTGCTGCACTATTTTTTTAAAGGATTTAAAATAGCCAGCTTGAATTCTGCAACCTCTGCTAGCCTTACTGTTAACAGTGCTTTCTGAGGCCAACTTGACTTCATCCTCCATTATATATGGCTCTAGATCAGTAACCACATTATTGTGATTATTGGTAATGTGAAGATCTTTCTTCTGTAGTTCTTCTGTGTATTCTTGCCATTTCTTCTTAATCTCTTTTGCATCTGTTAAGTCCCTTCCACTTGTGTCTGTTATCATGCCCATTTTTTTTGCATAAAATGTTCCCTTGATATCTCTAATTTTCTTGAACAGATCTCTTGTCTTTCCCAGTCTGTTGCTTTCTTCTATTTCTTTGCATTGCTCATTTAAAAAAACCTTCTTATCTCCTTTTGATATTCTCTGGAACTTTGCATTCAGTTGGGAATATCTTTCCCTTTCCCTTTTACCTTTCACTTTCCTTCTTTCCCCAGCTATTTGTAAAGCCTCATCAGATAGCCATTTTGCTTTTGTGCTCTTCTTTTTGTTTGAGATGTTTTTTGTTGATTCCTTCTGCACAGTATTGCAAACCTCTGTCCATAGTTCAGCGGGCACTCTATCTACCAGATCTAATCTCTTACATCTATTCATCACTTCTACTTCATATATGGTCTGATGGTTTTCCCTACTTTCTTCAATTTAAGTCTGAATTTCGCAATAAGAAACTTATGATTGGAGCCGCAGTCAGCTCTAGGTCTTATTTTAACTGACTAAATAAAGCTTCTCTACCTTTGGCTGCAAAGTATATAATCAATCTGATTTCAGTATTGACCATCTGGTCATGTCCTTGTGCAGCGTCACCTTTTGGGTTGTTGAAAAAGGATGTTTGCTATGACCAGTGAATTATCTTAACCAAACTCTATTGGTCTCTGCCCTGCTTCATTTTATATTCCAAGGCCAAAACTGCCTGTTACTCCAGTTATCTTTTGATTTCCTACTTTAGCATTCTAATCCCCTATGATGAATGTAACATCTTTTGTTGCTGTTATGAAAATGTAGGTCCTCATAGAACTGAGAAACTTTGGCCTCTTGGGCATCTGTGGTTGGAGCTTAGACTTGTATCACTGTGATGTTGAATGGTTTGCCTTGGTTTCAAACAGAGATCATTCTGTCATTTTTGAGGTTATACCCCAGTATTGCTTTTCTCACCCTTTTATTGACTATGAGGAATACTTCTTTCCTTAGAGATCTTGCCCACAGTAGTGCATGTCATGATCACCTGAATTAAATTCACGCATTCCTGCCCATTTATGTTCACTGATACCCAAGGTGTTGATGTTTAATCTTTCCATCTTCTGTTTGACCACATCCAGCTTATCTTGGTTCAGAGATCTTACATTCCAGGCTTCTTTGTAATAGTGATCTTTACAGCATTGGACTTTCCTTTTGTCTCCAGACACATCCACAGCTGAGCTTCCTTTTGGCTTTGGCCCAGCCATTTCATTCTTTCTGGAGTACTCATAGTTGTCCTTCACTCTTCCTCAGTAACGTGTTGGATACCTTCTAACCTGAGGGGCTCATCTTCTGGTATGTTATCTTTTATTATTTTAATACTGGCCGTGAGGTTTTCTTGGCAAAGATACTGGAGTGGTTGGCCATTTCCTTCTCCAGTGGATTACCTTTTGTCAGAACTCTCCACTATGATCTGTCCATCTTGGGTAACCCTGCATGGCACAGCTTACAGTTTCATTGACTATGCAAGCCCCTTTGCCACAAGAAGGCGGTGATCCAGAAGATTCTGAGTTAAAGACAAATCACCTTTCTGAATATGTGGGTGAAGTTTCCATAGTAGGAATTACTTACAGGGATGAAATCACACCCTTTCTTCCCCTCCCAAAACAACAGTAACTAGTTGCAAAAGCAACATAGCTTACATAGCATTCATTGCTTTCTGTTGAGTACATTAGTATCTAGCTCAAATATTAGAAGACAGCTACTTTTTTTTTTTTTTAGGCAGTTGAGGTTAAGTGAGTTGCCCAGGGTCACACGGCTAGTAAGTGTCAAGTGTTTGGTCTGAGGCCGGATTTGAACTCAGGTCCTCCTGACTTCAGGGCCGGTGCTCTATACACTGCGCCACCTAGCTGCCCCAAGACAGCTACTTTTAGTCATGTTAGAAATATGCTACTATTTGTACAGGCATATCCCACAAAGTGTTGCCCTGATGAATTTTGTAATAGTTAATCTTGTAATAATACATTATAATAAAATTCCACCATAACATACATTATAGAGACAGCATGTTATAGTGTATAAATAGCTACCCCTTTGTAAGACAACATGTCCTTTAGATTATTTAGATGCTAAACAAAAGTAGACCTTGTCTTTGATATGAGTCAGAATTTAAACCATTGACTAAATGAAGTCTCTTATTTTCTAACAACTTTTTATTTTTCTTTTTAATCTTTTAGGAACTGGACAGAGAACTTCCAGTGGTTTGCCCATATTTTGTTCATAAACCTAAAGAAGCTGGAATGAAGGAAGGTGGTTTACGTGTCACATGGCTTGGACATGCAACAGTTTTGGTGGAAATGGATGAAGTAATATTTCTCACTGACCCTATTTTCAGCATGCGGGCTTCACTGACACAGTTGGTTGGTCCAAAACGCTTTCGCAATCCACCATGCACAGTAGAGCAGCTTCCCAAAATAGATGCAGTTATTATCAGTCATACCCACTATGACCACTTGGACTATAATACCGTACTTAGTCTAAATGAGCGCTTCGGTTGTGAGCTGAGGTGGTTTGTGCCTATGGGTCTGTTAGAGTGGATGCAGAATTGTGGATGTGAGAATGTGATGGAACTGGACTGGTGGGAAGAGAACTGCATTCCTGGACGTGATGATGTCACCTTTGTCTTTACGCCTGCCCAGCACTGGTGTAAAAGAACTCCGGTAGATGACAATAAAGTTTTGTGGGGCAGCTGGTCTGTCTTGGGGCCCTGGAATAGATTTTTCTTTGCAGGAGACACTGGCTATTGTACCGTGTTTGAAGAGATAGGAAATCGATTTGGACCTTTTGATCTCGCGGCTATTCCCATTGGAGCTTATGAACCGAGGTGTGTAGACTTCCCACTGTTCATTAGAAAAAGGGCATGTTTTATGTGAATAAGAATATTATTTGATTACTGTTTGCCATAACTTAGTGGTATCATTTGTAGGTCAGAAGGTGTTGCTCATTTGTAGCTGAAAGTCATGTGATACCTGTTAATCAATAAAATCTGAAACAGTTTGAAAGGATCAAGTTGGATTAAAGTTACTTCTTGTCTACATATACATATCATTTAATAAATAGTTCAAAATAATTGATATTTGACTTAGATTGCAAGGAAAGACACTCAAGAGACACAATACATTCACTCTGTTAAGATTCTACAAGCAGAAAGAATTATATTTGACCTATTTTACATAAAAGAGCTGAGGTACTAGAATAGGGCAGTCTTTGACTTTTTCCTGATTTGTATAAACTGACCCCTAATCTCTTTCTTCTCTTGTTCAGTCTTTTCAGTTGTGTCTGAGTCTTTGTGAACCCATTTGAGGTTTTCTTGGCACTACTGGAACAGTTTGCCATTTCCTTCTCCAGCTCATTTTACAGATGAGGAAACAGTCAAACTTGGGGGTTAAGTGGAATGCATGGGGGTCACACAGCTAGTAAGTGTCTGAGGCTGGATTTGAATTCAGGAAGATGGGTCTTCCTCACTTCATGCCTGGCCCTCTATCCACTGCACCACTAGCACACTCTATCATCTCTTTCTTCTAGTAGGCTGGTAATTAAGCTTTCTGATTCATTTGATCTGTTTCTTTCCCTGCTTAACTAACGATCACCTTCTCCTGTTATAGCCTTTTTCTTCCAATTTCCTTATTTTAGGCCAGGCAATTTTACTTTTCCATATAATTTCTGTGATATCTATTACCATCTCTATTCATATAACTCCTAGACCTACATGTCTCGCCCTAATTTCCCTTCTGAGCCTGCATCTTGAACTGCTTATTGGACATATTGAACTGGACTTCCTGTCCGACAGCTCAAACTTAAAATGTTCAAAACACAGCATGTTATTTCTACCCCCAAACATGCCCCTCTTCCAATCATCCTTGTTACTGTTATAGGCACTAATATACTTCGATTACCTGGCTTTGCAAACCTGGTATCCTGATACTGACCTTTCACTCCCCACACATACCAGTTGCCAGATCTTCTTTCTGCTTCCACAGCAGCTCTCACATAGTAACCCTGTCACCATTCACACAGCCACCATCCTATTTCAGGACCTCATCAGTTTTCTCTTGAACTTTTAATAGCCTTTCATTTGGTTTTCCTACTTGAAGCTCTCCTCAATTCATCCTTCACCCAGCTACCAACGTGGTTTTCCTAAAGTGCAGGTCAGTTCATGTTACTTCTTTATTCAGTAAACTTCAATGGCTTCCTGTTGACTCTAGGATCAAATATAAACTCTTGGCCAGCTTTTAAAACTCGTCACAACCTAACCTCATCCTACCTTGCTGTTGCTGTGTCTGACTCTTTATGACTCTTTTTGGGGTCTTCTTTGCTAAGATGGTAGTTTCTCATTTCCTTACTCCAGCTTATTTTATAGATGAGAAAACTGTGGCAAACAGGGTTAAATGCCGTGACCAGAGTCACATAGCTAGTAAATGTCCGAGGCTGGATCTGAACCCTGGTATTCCTGACTCCAGTCCGGCACTCCATCCACGGTGCCTCCTAGCTGCCCCCTCATCCTACCTGACCAGTTTTCTTATGTATTTCTTCTGTCCTTGCAGCCTTCAGTACAGTCATATGCCTTAATCATTGGTCCAAACACACTTCCTGTTCTCCTGTCTCTGGGCCTCTGTACAGGCTAGCTTCTATGTCTCCTTCCTTGCCTTCACCACTAAGAAGCAGTGGCTTTGCTCTTCAGCTCAAGTGTAACCTTCTACAGGAAACCTTTAATCCCCCCACATGTTAATGAGTCCCCTCTTAAAAGTACCTACATCAAAGTGTAAGCTTCTTCAGGGCAGGGACCATCTCAGTATTGTTTGTGTGTCCTCACTGTTGAGAACAATGTCTGGTACATAGTAACAAGTGATTATTGATTGATTACAGTTAGCTGTTAGGAGCTAGATGTCAGTTGTTTCCTTTTAGTAAAATATAGGTGGTAGTGGTGGATAGCTGGAAACTTGAACCTGGGTTCAAGTCCTGCCTATCAAGAAACATACAAACACTACCATTTTAAAAAAATTTAAATTAATTTTTAAAAATTAATTATTTTTTTAAACCATTGAACCAAGATATTGAAAACATGTAACAAGCCAGTATTATCTCCCTTTTGGGTCAAAATGTGTTCTTATAATATGAAAAAAATTCTACTAGTTTGTCATTCTATAAAGGTTTTCTATTTATTATTTATATAAACTTTAATACTTACAAAAGGGGGAACTATGCTCATTTGTAGTTTAAGACTACTTACTGTCTGTCTTTGTACCAGTATATATTATTTTGTATTGGCTATACACATGTCATTTTTTACTGCTAGACTTTAAGGTTCATGAAGGCAAGAATTATGTCTTATCTAAACTTTGTAGTTCTCCCAGGACTTAGCAAAATGTTTTGCAAATGTTAGATGCTTAATAAATGCTTGTCAGATTGTTAAATTGAAACAAAAACATGAGAGCACTCCATCCAGCTCCTTGCTTTAATTTAAAAAAAGAAAAGAAAAATCAATGTCAAGGACTTTTTTTCATTGTTTCACAATATTGCCATGAAATCTGGAAAAAACAGTGATTGCTGGGGAAACAGTGGCTGTTGTTAAAAAGCCTCTTGAGACTAAGTTCACGTAATAGGAACATCAAATAACAATCTCCAGATTGTACAAATAGGTAGTCATTGCTAGAATTCGTGGTGTGAAGTGTTAAAAGTCCTACATGCAGCCATTAGCCTTATTCTGACTTCTATAGTTCAACAGTCTTGCTGTTCACAATGGCATCTCACTAGGATTGATAATGTAGGAAAAAGAAAACCCCAAATTGTATTTCAACCTCAGAATTGGTGGTGATTGGAAGGGAGAGCAGAGAGAGGAGAGAAGCTGACAGTGCAAAGGAAACAAAGTCTTTGAATAAATATTGCATGTTTTCCATAGCCTTTGTGGTAATGTTTGTAAAAAGCATCTAGCACAGTGCCTGGCACATTGCAGTCACAATGAATAGCTATTCCTACTCTTTGTACCATTAAAAAGTATTTTTCCCCTAAAGCATAGTTTGCATTAGCCAGTTTACTATTTGAGAAATTACTATGCATGCTAAAATGTTTATTTAAATCCTCTCTGAAGAGGAAATGGAATTCCTGACTCTCAGCAACCGTGTCTCTTAAAAATGGTGTAAATTCTTATCCACTGAACTGTTTTTTAGAAGCCTGACAGTAGATACAGAATTGACTTTTCAGTTCCAATTCTGTATCTGTTGTCAAGCTTCACTGAATCATGTCAAGGATAGCAGAATGCAACATAACTAGTTTTGAATGCTTGTAGAACTCTTTCAGAAGAATTCCAGAGCATTAAAAAAGTCTTTTTGGTGATGGAATTGTATAAGGATAAATAAGCCAGTTAAAGAAAGAAAAGGATGCCTTTATTTTTGCAAAAGATTGACTAAAGAAACAGTATTCATCTATTAGTTAGCATTTTTATGCAAACTCAAGAGTTATTAAAAATAAAAGTGGGTTAGGATACAATTTACATTGAAGAAGCTAGACTTAATAATTTTTGTTATATTCCTTTAGATGGTTTATGAAATACCAGCATGTAGACCCTGAAGAAGCTGTAAGGATTCACATTGATGTTCAAGCAAAGAAATCTGTAGGAATTCACTGGGGAACCTTTGCCTTAGCAAATGAGGTGAGTTTGAATCTGTCGTAAAAATAATTGTATATTTATTTAGCCTTTGATTTCCGTGCCTGAGTCCATTATGTTAGACCTCAGCAACGGTTGTTGTGGCTGTTTTCATTGAAGGGAATCTGTGGAATCCAACATGTATTCATTCATTTATCTAGTGTTAACTGGGGAGAATTATTTGCACCTGAAATAAAGAGGTCTTTACTGCATTCAGCATTTTCAGCTTAACTTGGCAGTTAATGAAACTCTTGATCTTTTTAAGTAAAGTGGCACTGTGTGTGCTAAAAATCAGAAATTCATGTTATTGAAATTTTAGGTCTTGAAATTTCTTTTTATTTTCTTAGTTCCAGTTCGGGGTTTCCTTCATTTCATTCCTTTTGATAAAGTAATCAGTTCAAGTGTAACCTTCTACATGAAACCCTTTCTGATTCCCCCACTTGCTAATGAGTTCCATCTTAAAATATCACTCCCCTCCTTGCAGTCTTCAATATAGTCTGTATGTCTTAACTCACTGGTCCAAACACACTTCCTGTTCTCCTAGAATCTCTGGGCCTCTGTACAGGCTACCTCCTATGCCTCCCTTCCTTCACCACCAGAAAGCAATGGCTTCCCTCTTCGGCTTAAGTGTAACCTACTACATGAAACCTTTTCTGATCCCCCACGTGCTAATGAGTTTCCTCTTAAAAGTACTTTCGTTAAAGTGATGTATCATTTAAATCTCTGCCCTTCTCTCTTTATTTTCTACTAAATTGTCATATTTTAGTTTTTGTGGAAATCTTCCAGTGATATTGGATGACCACTTGTTGGAGATGTTGCAGAAGTACTTGCTTGTCAGGTTTGGGTGAGATTAGATAACCTTCAAGGTCCTTTACAGTTCTAAGATTCTGCACTTATATCTTGAATCAAAATTCATATTTTCCTATTAACCTTTCCTTAGTTTTGTAGTTCTCTTTAAATGTATTTTAAACTTTTACAGAAAAAAACAACTAATTAGCAGCTTATATGGGGCAGAAGAAATCACTTTGTTACTACTGATTTGTTTCCTAACATATATGTACAAACCTTTATCTAACCCCTCATCTGAAATAAGATTTCCTTTTAGACTTTCCCATTTTATGTTTATTTTCATGTAGGTCTGAAAAAATGCCAAAAAGGAGATCTTTTGAGTTATGTACAGTGTGTGCTTTATCCTAGTAAATAAGTAAAATAATGTATTCAAAGAACCATAAAATCTTGGAGATTAGAAGAAGCCTTAGAAGTCATATAGTCTAATTGTTGAAACAGGAAGGTTGTCTGATAATAACTTACATTTATGTAGTACTGTAAGGTTTATGAAGTTCTTTCCTGGCAACAATGGTATGAGATAAGTAGTACAAGTATAATTATTCCCATTTTAGGGATGAGGAATTTGAGAATCAGGGGATAAATAACCTGCTTAAAGTCATGCAAATGGAAGGTTAGAACTAGAAGTTGTGCTCCCAACATCAAGTCCTAGTGTGCCAAATTTCACTTTAAATCAGAATGCCTCACAATATCAGCCTGGTCTTGGTCAAGGAATGGGATACTTAACCACTTCATAGGGTATTCTGTTCTACTGCTGAGTAGCTATAATTGCTAGGAAATTTATCTTGATGTAGAGCTGAAATCTGCTTTTCTATAACTAAGAAAAAGTTAAAGTTCTAGAAGAAGTAGAAGTTAAGAATATACAGAAGTCTGTTAAGGACATTATGATCCTCAAAACTTTCCTCTCTGTTTTTCTATTCTTTCTCTTAATTTCCAAGTCCTAGATCTGGCTGGGAGTGGGGGTGGTAAGGTTAATATAATCCTACTATCTTATGCCAAAAAAAAATTCCATGATTAAGTGCCTAGTTTTCTCATACACGAACTGAAAAGCAAATTTGTGGTCACACTTAATGTCCTAATGTTATATTTTGGCATTGATTCTGTTTCCCTTAAATGAAAGTGATTCTCTACAGACCATTTCCTCTACAAAACCCCTTGCTACAGCAGCGAGGCCTCACTAGATATATTACCTACTACCTCATATAACTTAATGATACACAACCTTATTTTGCACTGAATTTGAAATATGATGTTTCATTTGGATGAATATTTTAAGAGTTGAAATGGATTGAGCAACTAGTGACTCATACCTATATACTTCTCCACAACTAATGATTTAATCCAGCATAGGAAAAATGATTGAGATTTGCTATACATCTGCTGGATATTTTGAAACTATGGAATTTTGTACTCTTAGAGTTGGAAACAACTTTATAATGTTAAAATCAAACTTCCTACTCATTGCAGGACTCTCCCTGCCTTCCCCATGCCTGGGAGGTCTTCTTGTACATGAACTGAAAAACAAATTTGTGGCCACAGTTAATGCCCTAATGTTGTACTTCAAGCACTCTCTGCCTAAACACCGCTAGGTGCCTTACTGGATAGAGTACTGGACCTGGAGTCTAGAAAACCTGTTCAAATGTGACCTCAGATACTTGTTAGTTATGTGACCCTGGGCAAGTCATTTAACCTCTGCCTTATTTTCCTCAACTGTAAAAAGGGGATCATAATAGCACCTACCTCCTAGGGTTCTTGCGATAAGTATAAAGAACCCTGTTGCCTATCCTATGGCTTGACAGGTTGACACCGATCTGTCTTTGGGTTGGATTTGTTTAACTAGTTATAAATACATTTAACTGTACTCTATGTCTCTCTGACTTGTTATGCAAGAAGATAATGAAGTACTTTGTCAAAAATATAGCTGAAATCAAGATATTCTGTTTATCGTTCTCTGTTCCACAAATCCAATAATCCCAATTGGTTAACAATTTCAGTGTTGCTTATTGGACAAATACTGGGTTTTAGTGATCATTGATCCCCTTTTTAAATGTCCACAGATGATTTCTTAAAGAATCCTTCCGAGACTTTTACTGGTGATCCACACCTGGCTCCCTTTCTAGTTTCTGAAATCTACCTTTTCTCCCTTTTGAAAGTTAAGACATTTGCATATCTCCAGAATCCTAGTACCTTTTCCATTCTCAATGATTTTTTTTTAAATATTGCTGCAATCACACCTGAAAATTTGGTACCTTTAAGTTCCTTTCTGAATTTGGAATCAAGGCAAGAGTTTTATGGAGTTAGGACAAATTTATGTTTCTCAGTCACTACTGGACCCTCAATGCTGCACAGCCATTCTTTTATTGTTACCAGCTTGACTTTATCATTTATTGCCCTCTTCACAATGGCCATTCCAAACCTTCTCTCTTTAAGACTATTATGTCACCTCTTCACCCTTTCCTCTCAACAGTGAATGTAAAAGACTGCTTTACTGAGATGATATGAGCCAACTGTTTCAAACTCCTGTTTTAACTGTATTTCAGAAACTCTCTTCCTCAGTTCCATTTCTCTCAATTCAGTTCAACAAGGATTTATTAAACCCTTACTATGTACACGACTTTATATAAGGAACACAGAGACAAGAAAGTCCCTGCCCTCTGGGAGCTTACATTCTTTTGAAGGGAAACAACATGCACACAAATAAGAAAATTTTAAAAATATGCAAAATAAATTAATTTGGGAGGTTGGGGGGAAACATTAACTGCGGTAAGTTGCAGGGTAGGAAAGTCGTTATGTAGGAAGTTACACGTGATGACTCTTGAGGGAAACAGAGATTCTAAGAAGTAGACATGGAAGGAGAGAATTCCTGACATTACAGAGGTGGGGGACAGATATATGGGAAACTGAAAGTGGGACAATATGACCAGAACATAGAATGAGAGAGTGTGACGTAAAGTACAACTAGAAAGAAAGGCTGGGGACAGGTGGTAAAGGACTTTCAATACCAGAGGACTTTCTATTTTATCCTAAAGGAAGTCACTGAAAATTCCATTTCTTTGATCCTTTACTGTTTGAAATCATCATGTCCTTTCCTCATATTTGAGAATCTGTTAAAAGCGTCTGACCAAAGACCTTGGAAATTAAAGAATGGGCAACAGTGTGGGGCAGAGAAACTTTTTAGGGTAGAGAAGTGGAAGGATTTCTGTTCTTAACCAAATAACTTTAAATTAATCAGCTAAGGACCCTACTACAAAATCTCTAGTGCCATCTTATTACTTCTTGAATAAAGTACAGACTACGCAGCCTGGCATTTAAAGCTGTCCGTATTCTTCCCCCACTTCCCTTTCCAGAACTATTTCATGTATTCCTTTGGGACTCTCAGTTTCAGTCATTTGCCTTGGCACAGGTGGTTCTGCTACGTCTCTAAGGCTTTCCTTCCTCAGTCCCACCTTATAGAATACATACTTTTTCTCCAAAGCACAGCTCATAAGCCTCTTCATACAGGAGGCCTTTCTTGACTTGGATATAAATGTTTTTAGAGATATTTTCTGTCATGCCTACTGTATTTTGTCCTCCTTTCTGTTTCATTCTTAAAAACTCTTGGGATAACTTTGCCTAGTTAGGTCTCTCACCAATATTTCTTTGTACTCTGTTTTTTGTTTTGTTCTTTGCAAGGTTACGTGCCTTGCCCAGGGTCACACCACTAGTAAGTGTCAAGTGTCTGAGACTGGATTTGAACTCGGGTCCTGACTGTAGAATGGATGCTCTATCCATTGTGCCACCCAGCTGCCTCTGTACTGTTTTTTAAAAAATAACTTTGTATATATACTTTTTATCTGTACTTCTGTACATGTTCAATTCCCCCTCCTCCCTTTCCACCTGCTTCTCAGTAGAATACAAACTCACTGAAGGCAGAGGCTGTTTGGTTTTCATCTTTGTGTATACCAAGTGATTAGCACATAGTAGGTGCTAAATAAATTGAACTGAATTTAAAATGTCTGTTTTCTCTGTGACATTATTGGTTATTGCACAATCTACCTTGTCTCAGTTCAGTCTTTTTAGTTATGTCCTACTTTCCATGACTCCATTTGGAGTTTTCTTGCCAAAGATACTGGAGCGGTTTGCCATGTCCTTGGAAAGCTCATTTTTACAGATGAGGAAACTGAGGCAAACAGGGTTAAGTGACTTGTCCAGGGTCACATAGCTAGTGTCTGAGGCTGAATTTGAACTTGTGAAGATTGAGTCTTTCCGATTCCAAGTCGAGGGCTTTGTCCACTGTGCCATTTAGTTGCCCCATAGTTAGAGCACTGGACTTGGAGTCATGAATTGTTGATGTTTAGTCATTTCACTCACGTCTGACTCTTCGGAGGTTTTCTTGGCCAAGATACTGGAGTGGTTTGCCATTTCTTTCTCCAGTTCCTTTTACAGATGAGGAAATTGAGGCAAACAGTGTTAAGTGACTTGCCCAGGGTCATATTAACTATAAATATCTGAGACCATATTTGAACTCAGGTCTTCCTAACTTCAGGCTCTGCACTCTATCCACTGTGCCACCTAGCTGCCCCAAGCATTGGCCCAAACATTGGCTTAACACCCTAACCTTTCCTTCTACTTCTCTAAACATAAAGAACTCATTTAGGTTCTTTAACCTTCTCATCATTAGTCATATATTTTGACTTATATTTTGTAGTCATTCTTGGCTGTATGATCTTGTCTTTTGTACATTTTTAAAAAATCTGGGCACATCATAGAGTTCCCTTCCCAGCTGCATTAATCTTTTAATTGCCTTCCTTTCTTTTCCCTTTTCTTTCCTCAGGTTCATTTATGGTTGTAGTGTCAGAATCCCATTTTTAGCTTCCCTTCCCTTTGAGTTGATTATAAAGTTATCAGATCTCGGAACCATTTTAGGTTGAACTTTTGTTTGCAAATTTCAAATAATAAAAATGTTGCTCATATAGCATTAAAATAATTTTTTTTCTTATAGTTCATATTTTTTGATCATTTGTCTTTTTTTTCTTCCTTTGCCAGTATTACTTGGATCCTCCATTGAAACTGAATGAATCTCTAGAAAGGTATGGAATTAACAATGAAGATTTCTTCACCTTGAAGCATGGAGAGTCAAGAGATGTAAAGACTGACAATGAAAACCTTGAATAAATGTGGATGATAAAGACTGAGAATAAATATAAATATCAGAAGGCTTTTAAAAAAAAAGCAAAACCTCTTGCAGGATTTGAAATAGCAAAACAAATGTAAAAATTAAGAGATAAAGAAAGGATGATTTTCTTTTAAATTTAGATATAGATCTCTCCATGTTTGCATTTTACTTTATAATAATTTGCACAGGCTAGTTAATATATACATTGAAATATTAGAGAGTGATAAAAATCATTAGATTGGGTAATGTATAGAATTTAAATGTTATCTGTCTAAAGCCAGAACACTGCAATGTTTTTTTTTGTTTGTTTGTTTGATTGTTTTTACTAATTTAAGGGAGTGATTTATAGGTTGGATTCCTTTTCCAGAAGTTGTGAAAGATTCATTCCTATGCTTCAGGTCCTTTCTTTATATAAAGTGAATCAGAATTCATTGTATACCTATATATTTTAAGAGCTCTGATCAGTAATATAATCCCCCACAGTACTTTTGTTACTAAAGTCAACATATATCTCCAGCTATGCTTTTTTCAGCATAAGCATATGGGGATTTGGGTTCTGCTCTGCTTTTTGAAGAGATTTTTTTTGTTTTTTTAAATAGGGCAGTGGTTGCTCCAGTTGAATTAGGAGGGAGAAGGTACAGAGTGTGGTAAAGAGAGGGGAATAAGAAAGCATTATCTTTGAGAACTTTTTTATTTCTAAAAATAAGATCTTTCCTTAAGCACAAATATATATGACCTGATACATGGAAATTGATGTTTTTACATAATTTATAGTCAAGTCTTGATACAATGTATTAATAGACTATAGTTTCATTTAAATTTGATCCTGTCCATTCACCAATCTCTCTAAAAAATACCCCTTAATATTCTTGCCTGAATTTTCCTTTTCATTGGTCTGTGTAGTGTAATTCTAAAACTATCAATAAGGTTAATTAAAAAAAATTAACTTAATGATTACTTTGTATTACATTAAATAACTTGCAATTAGATTTTGTTTCATTATAAACAAGGTTCTATATTATATATATTCACACTACTACAGTCTCACCTAAATAAATTGTCTGCATGTCACATTACTAGAATTGTATATTTTATGCCAAATGTTTGGTACTTCAGGGAGCAGCCAGTTAGTCAGTCAATAGCTTGAGAAATCTGCATGTATGTACAGAAGCACTGTGACTTGGTTGCAAAGCACTGAATGTCCGAATTCAAGCCCTGCCTGGCTATACCACTGATCTTTTTTTCAAATAAGCTATCCCTCCCTCCCCATCCTCAGTTTCCCCATCTGTAATATGGAGATAAAACTTTTTACCTACCTTCCAGGCATACTGAGGAATAAATCTTACATAATATTAAAAGTACTTTGAAAGCATACAAGAGAAAATTATTATTTGAAGTAGGCACATTTAAACATAGACCTAATACCTCTGAAGATGTATCTTGCTAAATTTTTACCGTACATATCAGGAAATGAAAGACCGAGGGTGACCTAACTCATCCATGTTGCATATTTGGAGAGTAATAACCCATGTGTAATTGCTGATGTTAAGCTTTAGTAAATTTTATTTATTTTTTTGTTTACAAAGATGCAAATAAATTGAAAAAAAGTTTTGTGTACTATTTTGACACTAATAGCACAAAATTATCATCACATTTTAAATTAGTTTTCCAAAGACAAAATTGTATAAGTATGTACATCTTTAGTACAAAGTAAAATTGTATAGGAAGACAGGAATTAGAGCATGGTAATTTTACAGTAGTAGTGCTGATTCTACATGCAAACTCCAGTAACCATGGACACCTAAAAAAGCTAACATCTTTTCAGCCACTTTCCTGGCATTATGTGCTGAACTAAAAATTTAAAGATTACAAATGAAGTCTGTCTACCATTTAAATTTACATTTTGCTTGAATATTTCTATTCCATGAGTCACCTTAACATTGTTTTTATATTTATAACAGCACTTTTTAAAAGATTTACAAGCACTTTAGAACATTATAGTCTATTAGATTAGTAAACTCGTTTTTATTTAGACTTTATTATGAAAATTTTGTTACTGTGTTTTAACCGTTCTCACTCTTAAGACCTAACTGGATAGTGGTTGGTTTTTTGTTTTGTTTTTTAGTAATTAAAACATTGAGAATTCTGGTCCTAACTGTATAATGAAACACCTCTCTTCATTGAACTCCCTAAAGAATAGCCAACTTTATCTCTGACTCTTTTAACATTTCTTTTCCACTGTAATTATTTGTCTTTTGCCATTCACACTTAGGAAAGCTTGCACAGTGTTCAGTGATGAAAGTTTTCAAATCTGAAAAAGTGTGAAGGGTGAATGACAATAAGTCAGATGTTTCCTTTTATTTGGAATAAAGGGAAGTACAATTTTTGGGTTCGGTCTAACGTCTACTGTCTATCCTAAAGTGAAGTCATAATACACTTGGGTTTGTTAGAATGTTTATTAAATTTTTTTGGTCATTTTTTCCTCCAAAGTGAAAGACACCCTTTCTCCTCAAGTGTAATTCTTTATCTTCCTCAAAACTCTTGGTTCTAATAATTAGGAGGAAAATCGTACCTAATAAAAAAACCATAGCATTATTCAAGCTGTGCCATGACATCACCTAGCTCATGATATGTATCATAGCCAGATAAACTTTTCTTTCTGTATTACCATGCTATAACGTATCCTTGTAAACTCCACTCCCTATTTCCTATTGACATATGGATAATATCCTCATTTCAAGAAAATAACAGGAATTGTAACAATAAATAGTTCCAATGAATGTGTTTGTCTGAGGCAGGGAGAGAATGAATGAAACGCAATCATGCAAACTGTTGGTAAAGGACATTAAAACCAAATGCCAGTTATGCTAAGCGCACATGTTGCTTGTATGTTTTCATCAACTATAGAACATTCAAGAAAGTAGTTTTAAAATATTATAAAGAAATGTGCCTTTTAAAAAAAAAGATGTAATACATGTGATTGCATTACTATGTATAAAATTATAACTGCTGGCCAGAATGTGTACGTTAGTATTCTCTCCCATCAGGAAGTCTATTTTTTACCTTATATAGTACTTTTCTATTATAAATATGTTGTTATTTTTAAAGTTTGATTTGTGTCAACTTGCCTGAAAAATTCACATTTTTCTCTAATCATGGATTCTAGATTTTCTAGATGAAGCATTCTTATATCTATGTGTTTTAAGAAATAAATTTGAAGTATTCTTTGGGTACTGTAAGCACAAGGGGAAATAAAACATATATTGGTTTCTGTATTGCTAAGCATAGTCTTAGATTATGAATATTAATACTATAAACCCAGCTGAATATATCTGTATCAACTTATTGCCACAATAGCTTGTGAAAATAAACTTCTTACTACAAATGCTGTTTAAATATTTTTTATATACTTTAACTTCCTACTGGTACCATGGATTGGATATGAACGTAAATTCTTTGCCAAGAGATTGCCATTTCTTTATATTTTAATTGCCAGTGCCTGGCATGGAGATGCTGAATAAATGCTTATTGATTAAAGGCACTGGAATTCTTAGGGAAATGTGTATACTTTTGAAAATGCAGCAGAAAAAAAAATGTTTTTACCTTTAATGAGGGTGGGCAACATTCTACCTGGAAACACCTCTCTATAATTTTTTCTTCAAAATATAAGCACCTCTAGAACAATTTTTCAACAGGAAGTATTATGGGTGGTTTTCTCTCAAACAATACTTCAATATTCACTGTAGAGGGCAGGCTTTGGGGAGTTGGAGGGCTTAGGCCAGCCCAGGTCTTATCTGTAGATTGTGCTAAGCCCGACAGCTGTGAAACTCAGGATGTCGGCTCACCACCCCCCTGTTCCATCTCTTGAGAACAGGATGCAGGAAGGGAGGAAATGGATGGGGTACAGGACAGGACTCAGGAAAGAATGTAACAGACAAGGTACAAGGAAGTAAGGAAATCACTTAATTAGATTTGTACTTTTCATGAATAATAATGTTACTATTGCTTGATCCAGTACTATATAAGCCTGAGCCCTCAGATCAATAAACGAAGTTTGTTCTTCACATCTTCCACCTGGCCCGTGATTCTTTCTCTCTTCACACTCTACCAGCATCAGACCACGGCCATGGATGCAGGCGCTTGTGGCAATTCATCTATTTGGATGTTGTCCAATGTTGTAGACAAATCCATCCATTTCTGCTCATCCTTGCAGCTCTTATCTGCCTTCCCCTTAATCCACCAGAGGTTCCACCCAGGGCTGGAAAGCTGCCTCACTTTCTCCTCATATTGTAGGGCTACTATGGAAGCACTTGAGCTATCTACTTGTCATTCCACATGCTTCCCACCTGACTGGCCCATCTTTTTCTATCACACATTTCTTTGATAAAATCTTTGCTCCTTTTCTCTAGAGCTCATTTATGTGTTGAAGCTTTCTCATTCCTGCAGTGAGCCTTTTCTGCCAATCCGTGTGATAGTTGTTTCAGTTTCTTCAGAGGCTTTGTTCTATGACTCACAGCTATATAAACACCACCACCACTACACTGGCATTGAAAAGATGGGCCTTTAATTCTAGTTATTTGGTACCAATAAAGGAGTTTTGCAGCTTCCTGAGGGCAACCCAGCCTGTCCCCTTTCATTTAATTCTAGGCCAAACTTGTCCTTCTATACTGAGTTAGATATCTATCTCTATCCATGAGCAGGCTCTACAAGTTATCCATCCAGCTGCTTGTCATATACATTACCCATCTATGAAACAGTTATATTATTAGTGTGAGTTAAATGTGGGTACTTGTTAGACTTGACTATTTGAGTGCCTATGATATGCTTAGCCCTTTGCTGGCTGTCCTGAAAGGGGGAAAAATGCTAAAGATACAGTCATCAAGGTAGTTGGAAAGTCAAGACAATCACTTGTTCCCTCAAAATCAATTACACGGGGACAGGATGAGGTAAATGTGGTTAGACAGTAGTTAATATTTAATTAAATTCAGTAAGTATTTATTAAGCACTTACCAGGTACTGTGCAAGGTTTGGGGCTACAAAGATAAAAAGTAAGCAGGCCCTACTCTTTCAGAGATTTTGTTCTATTAGGGGAATTTACATTCTCTTGGCGGTGGGTATGGGAAAAAGACCTGGACGGGGGTATGTGTGTGTGTGTAATAGATCATGCTAAACTTGAATTAGCAACTTCATATGGCAGTTAAAAACAATCAATGGAGTCTTAGCATTACTAGAAAATATCCAGAAGGGTGAAAGTCTCATTGTATTCAACAAGTGGAGTGGCCAGTTTTAGAAAGATCTTTAATAAGTTGGAGAGTATATTGGGAACCAGCATAATGTAAAGACACAAAACCACATTGAATGAAATCCATTGGAAGAAATGGAATTTTAGGTTGGTGAATATTTGGGGTCAGGGAGAAAATATGACAGCTTTCTTAAAATAAACGAGGACTGCCCTATGTAAGTCATTATGATTGGTTTTATATTTGGTCATGGAGAGAAGAGCTAGGGTCAATGAGTGCCAAGTGAGAGTCATATTTTGGCTCAATAAAAGGAAAACCTAACTACCAAATAGTAAGAAAATTTAATGGACTGCATAACTAATTTAATGATGATGACAGAAAACAGAAAACTAGTTGAAAGAGAAGACAAAGCACTGGGGGTGGACATAAGTATATATATTTCTTTATCAGATCTGGGATTTTATTAGTAAAGGGAATTTCAGGTAAGAAAACTCCCTCTTCCAGTCCAGATCAGCTCCTGCTCTGCTTCTCAGTCTTGGAGAATTGCCAGAGGCACTGAGAGGTTAAGCCTGGATATACCAAGTCATAGCAAGTATTTGTCACACAGGATCTGAAAGAATATTTCCCTGTTTGACAACAACTCCATCCACACTGCCATGCTGCCTTCTAAAGCTGGAATACATTTATCACTCTTTGGACTAGAAAACACATGATCCCTGATGGTGGAAAAGTATCTTTTCCAAGGCTATTTTTTGCTTAATCTTGGATTTAAACTCACAGGGAGCCTGCAGATGAGATATGTACTATTTTGCCAAATTAAAACTGGACTACTGCATATTGGTGGTTATTACAATGTCATGAGAATTCCCAGAGGTACACACAGGCTCCTTTTCACTAGAGTAGTTGTGCCAAAATTTACTTAGGGCTTTTCATGTTTAAAACCTTCCAGAGGGCTTTTTCCAAGGTTCTAAGGAAGCTTCCTCCATCTCTGTCATTCAACTTTTTAAAATAGTTGATTCATAATTGTTGTTGTTCAATTGTTCAGCTCTTTATGACCCCACAGTAAATACTGTCCACAGGGCTTTCTTGTCAAGGTAACTGGAATGGGTTTGCCATTTCCTTTTCTATTGGATTAAGGAACCGAGGTTAAGTGACTTGCCCAGGGTCACACAGCTAGTGTCTGAGGCTGGATTTGAACTCAGGTCTTCCTAACTCTAGGCCCAGTGCTCTATTCACTGAGCCACCAAATTGCCTCTAGTTAATTAGTAAATATGTACAAATGTTATTCCAAGTCCCTAAACCAGTATCAAGAATTTTTAAGCTCAAACCTTTAAAATGGAAGCAAGTTTTAAAAAAAGCACTACTGTCACTGAAACTTTAATAGCAATTCTTAACTTCTGTACTTTGGCTGACAATTTCGGAAAGATTTTGATATATGAGACATCAAATGAGCCACTAAAAGTTTATTTGGTTGATATTTTCCCAGTGTCATTTAACATACCTTACAATAACCTTTAATGAACAAAAATGTCTTTCGATAAGACAAAAAGTGAGTTACGTATAGTACAAATACTATTTACTAACTTTAAAATAACATAATAATAATCACTTTAGAGTCCTTTGCTTAAAAAATACAATTCATTAAAATAGCATACTCCAAAATGAAAGCACATGGTACATCCTTAGAAAAATCCATTTCATTTATCAGACAAAACTAAGATGACTCTCTGTTAGTTGAACCAACTCAATTTTCCTGTCCAACTGTAAGATCCTAGATATGGAGCAGGAAGGGATCCAACTCCTCTGCTTTTCAGATGAGGAAACTGAGGCTCTGAGTGACTTGCCCAAGGCTATACAGGGAGTAGATGGCAGAGCAGGGATGGCACTCAGGTCCTCTGACTCCAACCTGCGCTCTTTCAAGTCCCATGTATTAGTACAGCACTTTTAAAGTATCTTCATATCTATTAATTGATTTGATTCTTGAAATAACCTTGCAGAAATTGGAGCAAATTTATCCCTATTCTGCAAATGAGGCTTATCAGAGAGGTTAAGTGATTTGTCTCACTTCAAATCCTGATACCTGGGTGGAAGATACTGAAATCCAGGTCTATGCTAGATATAGATTCAAGATGATTCTTAGGCTAAAATACAGCAAAATACTGAAGGGACTATACACAAAGGGGTGATTTTATTCATTTTGAGAATAAAACTTCCATTACACAGATTACTGGTCACATTTATTTTTGCACATTAGTTAAAGTGACTTTATTCTGTTGATTTTATGAAAGCTATTTTAATTTTAAACACCGATACATTTCTTAAAAATTACTCTGTAGCTTTCATACATCAAAATTCCCAGAGTCCCAAAAAGTTCTGTAGTGTTCACTTTAACTAAAAGGTAATCAGAAAATTCTCAATTAATTTGAATTAAGGATATTTTAACAAACTTGAACATTTTAGCCCACAACAATTTTTTCAACTTTTCAAGGATTCAAGTACAAAATCCTAACAGATTTCTCTTTGGGTGATGAACTCATGCCACACTATCAAGAGCAGATGAATCTGAATTAGCTCTCCAGGACTAAAGTCCTCAAGGGCTTCATTAGTATCTTAGACCAAACTCTCAAGGTCTCTCTTAAGAGCTTAGAAACTGACCGTGTGACATGGGAGACACTGGCACAGGACCGTTCAGCATGGCATGCCCTCATCAGAAAAGGTGCTGTCCTCTATGGGCAAATCAGAATTGAAGTAAGCTCAAAAGAAATGCGAGATATACAAATTATGGAACCCACTCCAAATGTTCACATGGACTATTTGTGGTAAAGCATTCCGAGCTCATGTTGGTCTAAGCAGCCACAGTTGGATACTGTAATTTGACTTAAATGTGGTGATGTCATTTTGGTCCTCTCTGAGAATGAAGGACAACAACCAACCACCAGACCAGAAAATCACAAAGAATGTTCCAGGTATCTTCAGGTTCCTTGCTTCAGTGCATACTCTTGACGGATCCCATCCTTCTGGTTATATTTTACTGCTCAAAGGTACAAGAAATCCTAGAAATCTTTACAGATTCTACTTCTTCCTCTTAGTTACAGTAAATGGCAAAGAGACTATATGATCGAACCGCTGACCGGAACCTTAGTTTTATTTTTGCCAACAGGAACAACATTCCTACATGAATCTTCTCTTTCTGCCCCGAGGCTTTATAGCCACCATTGTGATGTGGGGGATGAAGTCCCGAAGTATGGGAACAAGATGAAAGTGTCAAAGCCACTTGTCTTGCTCACAGACTGCAACATGGAGTTATTCCTTGTGGTCGCGGTGTTTTGTTTTGTTTTTAAACACAAGGCCAATCAAAGTAGGGTTAGTATTTCTGCAACTTTCTCTTTCACATCGACATCATGGTGATATATTAAGGACAGCAGCTTCTCAGTACACTCTGTAGATTCTCCATTGAGGAAAGAGAAAAGAGAACTCTTATTAAATTGATGCTGGGCAAATGCGTTCTCTTTCTGCTTTATACTGTTTTTTAAATTTGCAAAGAGTGTAAGGACACGAAGAAGAATTTCCTTCTCCGTGTTTCCATCAAAGAGGGAAATCAGTGATGATGGCACCTAAAAAAATGAAATAATTATTACTTTTTAAAGTCAAAATTTAGGATTCTAATACACAATCATATTTTTATATATCCTGGTATATAGTGATTATATTACAGTACTTTAAATTTTACTAAGAAAACTGAAAGTAGTTTTCTACTCAATTCATAAGAAAATCTTTTTATACATATTTGTGACTAATGGTAGCTATCTCCAGGGTGGGAAAGGAAAAAAAAAAGTAAAGAAAAAGAAATTTACATGATAACTTTATTATATATTTAAAAGGAATAGCAAGTTGTACATAAGAGATTTGCAGTTTCATGTACAATCATCTTTTTTTACTATACTATGTTATGGAAATGCTTATTTCATTCCATAAGGAAAAAAAAATCTTTTTATGGCATGATTCCTCAGATATCTGTGCAAAATCTTCCAGGGAATTCACATTTTATACTGTTGGAAAAGAGTGGCTTAACATTGAACTTTAAAATGCTGTATGCTCTGAATATCAGGATGTGGCTTAATTCTGGGGGGTAGGGGAATACATGCTGTTTTAAAATACCTAATGTGCAGTTTCTTTTTGGAAAATTTATCATTGTGTGAACTAGAAGAAGAGGTTTTATGAAAATATTTTGTGTCATAAAGCTCACAGTGAAAAAATTAAATTTTATCTTATGTGCATTAAATATTAATACAGGCTTCCTTCAGGGAATTATGAAATAGCATGACCAAATGCAATTTCATACATACACTTTATTCTTCAAAATAACAGCTTTCCTATACTTATTCACAGAATGGCCTGAGATTTCAGTATTATAGTTATTTTTCAGTTGATCAATATTGATTGATTTCATTATCTAATAGCTTCTTGGTGATTAAATACCTATCTTCTACAGAGCTTAAAACAAAATAAGTACATAAAATATTTACCTGCACACTGAGAAGTTCTTTTGTCATGGATGGATTTGCCGACAAATTCAAAAGCACTTTTAAAGTCTGAATCTGAAATGAGAATACTTTTTAATCAATTATAGACAGCTGAACTTTAAAGGAATAGGAAGAAAAATTATCAATTACATAAAAATGAGGAACATAAAGAATAAGCATAGATCTATAAAAGTTAGCTTCCCATGAACATAACCTGAGATTAGCAATATATTCTTGTATGTTAGCTAAGTAGGATGAGGGCATTTTTCGAGCTAAAATAGCTTAGCTGAGATATTAGCCATAAATAGCTTAGATAGAAAGTGGTTAGTAATCCCTCATTTTATATACACAGGAAAACTTAGGCTCAAAGAATTTAAACATTTTCCTCAAATTGATACAGCTATTGGCAGAACCAGGACAGGCACCCCATCTCTTACTTTAACTCTTTAAAAGTCTTCCATTTGCTTTAAGCATGAATAGTTATTGTGCAGAACAGAATTCATGTGCTTACGTGCTCTGACCTATTTTGAAAATTTAGCTCCATTCCAACAACAGTCTATTACATTACAAGAGTAAATTAACCATACCTGTGTGAAGTCCAGAAAACAGGGGTTACACTCCAGACTGCACACTCTTCTAATGCCCACAGAATACTTACTAGCTAAATTAGCATCAAGCTACAAGGTCACAATTTCTTTTCACGGAAAACAGGACACATCCCTGGACTATCACAGAATTTTTCAATAAGAGATTCCCTCCCAAAAGTGTTTTTTTTTTAATTTTTTTTAGCAAAAGCAGTGGTTTAAAGGAAAAACAGTGGAAAGGTAGGTGAGATGGTGCTGGGTAGAAAGGAGAGGAATGTGAATGAAAAAGACAAATGCAAACAAACAAAAAAACCCAGAAGAATTAAAACACAGGAATTTTGCTTCCTGTCCATTGTATAGTGGTTAGACCTTTGGGTCAAATCCATGTGATTTCTTCCTTGACATCTAGCCAAAGGATGAATGAAAGATCCACTCCCCATCTTTTGTAGTCTCATTGAGCTTTTAGACTCTTTACCTCAAGTCTGGTCTACTGCAATAGCCTCTATGGCAGATCTCACTGTTTCTATTCAATTTTCTCATCAATTCATCCTACACATTAGTGGCTGATTAATTTTCTGAATGAACACCTCTGATCATGTCATTCTCAAAGTTCTCCCATGGACGTCCCCAGAATCTCCATTTGGAGAAGCATTCACGCTAGCCATGCTTATTCCAAATCTGGTTTAGCCCCGTGACTCCCAGACTACTTCTCAACTTTTCCTCAAACACACATCTTCCAGCGGCCTCTCCCCACCGTCTCAGATTCCTTTTGTGCTGTCTTCCCCATCAGAATGTAAGTTCCTTGAGGGCAAGGACTTCTTAAAGTTGTATTTTCAGAGCTTAGCAGTGTCTGGCACACAGTAACTGCAAACGCTCTGTCCATCTATTAGCTCTCCACTGTTTACAAGGTAACATGAACCTATTTATTATGTCGGGTCTCATGAAGCAACTGTACCTTCAAGTCACTGCTGGTCTAGGTTTTGATCCTCAGCTTTACAAGTTCAGATACTTGGTTTTATCAGTTTATTTGGAAGTGATAAAGCTCAGGGGAAATGAATCATGGTGCTAAAACTTACAAGACACTGAGTGAAACTAGAATGTCAGCTGATAAACAAGGGAGACATTTTGAAAGATATTCCAGGACTGAAAATTGATGTGGGCTGTCTGCAGAGAGGACAGTCCCTCCTGGTGGGAAAGTCTAAGAGAATTATCAAAGTATCTGGAAAGATTGTAGATATAATAATTTTACAAGGGAGGAAGTAAAGCTCAGAGAAGCACTCACCCATTGTCATACAGGTGACAAATGAGAGTCCCTTGACTTCCAAACCAGCAATCTTTTTATACTACCAAATTGCCTCTACCAGAGAGCTACTTGGTGGTACACAAACTGTATATTCTTAAAGAATATTTCTATCAAGTGTGGGCAGCTTGAGCATATTCTCTGTGGACAAGTCACTTAATCTATCTCTCAATGTCAAAGCCAAGTAGAGAATATAGTAAACTTCAAAACAGGAGCTAATTAGCCCTGACAGACAATTTTTCTTTCTTTTTTTTTTCTTTTTAGGCAATTAGGGTTAAGTGACTTGCCCAGGGTCACACAGCTAGTAAGTGTCAAGTGTTTGGTCTGAGGCTGGATTTGAACTCAGGTCCTCCTGACTTCAGGGCCAGTGCTCCATCCACTGCACCACCTAGCTGCCCCAAGACAATTTTTCTCAATGCAAGTTTCCTATACTAGTGAAAACAGTGAGGAACAAAACCAAACCTCTAAGGATATTTCTATCTTAAGAATCAGTATTGAAACCTAAAGTGGGAGGACACCCTTAATCAATGATAGAGGCACACTGAGAAATTCTTACTACTTAGCTTTCCTTTTTAAACATTCCTTATTATTAATTTCCAAAAACTTTGGTCATGACATCACTCCTTGAATGACAGATGAGATAATTTCTAAAACTAAAATACATGTTTAAGGCATGTAAGATAAATGAGAAGTTGATGCCTTTATTTGTGTGTCCATGGGGAAAATTAATGCTAGATCCTTTCCTGAGGTTTAAGCCAACATGATCCTATCAAGTAGCAGTTAACAAATATTTCATGGTAGGTTACTTCTGCAGATGGCAAATCTCACCCCCTTTATATTCATTCCCATTAGCTATAATTTCAGAAGATATTTTCTATCTTGTCCCCAGATTACAGGAGTATAACCTACTTAGAGCTGATATTTCCCACTGTGCATAAACTATATTTCATATTCCTTAACAATCAAAGCTCTCCATACTCTGACCAATCCAACCTTTGTACCTCTATGTTTCACTATTCCCTTCACATGAAACCTCACTCCAGTCAGACTGGTGGTCATCTACCTCTCTCTCTTATTCGTACAGCTTGCCCTCTTCTTCCATTTCTACCAATTACAATTCTATTAATTATTTAAATGCTAGTTCTAATTCTCTCTTCTCTGAACAACCTTCCCTGATTCTTTCTGGCTAGAAGTGTGATCTTCCTGTCTTGTGGATCCTGATACCACCAACATATCACTATCTCAATACTGCATTGATTGGTGATTTTCTCAGCACGGATAGTCCCTCTACTAACTCAGAATGCAATCTCTTTAAGACAACTTAGCAGATGCTCTTTGGGTATCTATGGTTGAAAAAAATCTCACTATGCAGCTGACTTGGTGATAAGACTCTGAATTTAGCTAGCTTGGTGCTCAGATAACAGGCCAGCTGGACTTTTGGGGAAGCAGAGCATTATACATATACAAGCCATAGGATCTTGGGTAAATTATTCACTCTTTGAGCCTCTGTTCCTCTATGTAAAACCCTGCCTTACCTATTGCACAGAATTGATGTAAAGATCAGAGGAGAGAATGTACAGTCAAGTACTTGAAAAATTCTAAGAGCTCTAAGGAATGAAAGGGGTTATTATCTTACAGACCAAACTAGGTTGTCAGCCCCTGGAGGGCAGGGAACACATCTTGAAGCATTCTTTGTATTTTCCCCAGCATCTGCCTAGCCCAGTGTCTTAAAATAAATATGTGCGATGAACTAAATTGATCTCACTGTATAAACAAACACTGTCAAAACAAGTTCACTTTTTTAAAAAGTGAATTAATTTTTATCAGTGCTAGTGTTAACTGAAATGAGATCCTAGGAACAAAGCCTTCTTAATACACAGTTCCAAAGAGAAGAGACCTGATGTAAAAACAAGACTCCAAAATGAGCTTTAACAGATGTAACAGGTAGGAAAGAAGTAATGGACATTTTCCCCTCTAATTTAGATTTTTTTCCTATTTATTCATTCATTTATTTATCACATTCATTTTTTTAAAATTTTGAGCTCCGAATTCTCTGTTTCTCCAGCCCTTCCCCAACCCATTGAGAAGCAAGCAATATACCCAGTAATGGGCATTTTATTAACAATTTGGTACCTAATTACAAATGTAGCTTTTATTACCTGCTAAGCAATGCTACCTTAGAAGCAGGATAGCAAAGAGAATAATAATAATAATAATGATGATGATGATAAGCTAACACAAAGCACTTTGAGGTTTGTAGGACACTTCATATGTTACCTTATTTGATCCTCAAGGCAACCCTGTGAAGTAGATATTATTACTCTCCTCCCTTTACAGATGGGGAGACTGATGCTGACAGGCTAAGTGATTTGTGGAGGCACATACAGCTCATAAGCGCCTGAGGCAGGATTTGAATGAGGATCTTTCTGACTCCACCAACAGAGCAATTAGACTGTTTAGTGGAGGGAGCTCTGGTCATGAAATCAGAAAGTGCCTCAGATGCTCATGAGACATATATGACCCTGCACAAATAACCTAACCTTTCTGAGCCTCAGATGCCTAATCTGTAAAGTGAGGGGCTGGACGGGCTGATTTTTAAGGTTTCTTCTTGCTCCAACTCTACGATCTAATGATCCTACAAATTTGTAAAATGATCACAAGAATTATCAGTACTTGAGGAACAGACAGGATTTTTTCCTTTCCTACACATCACATAAACACTTGCTATTTTTATTCCAATGATGGTAACATGGACTACTAGTAAAATGTTTATTACCCAAAGAGAAACAGTATCATAGGTCCAATGGGGAAAGTTTATCTGACATTCTAGTGGTTGTTTGCCCAACAACTAGGTATCCAATTCAGAGTTTATGAAAGAAGTTGTATTCCAAGAGGTCATTTGCAAATTAGCTATTTGAAACTCAGAACATAATTTTTCCCCTGCAGATATGTTAGAAAATTAGGTTCGATTCCAAAACAGACCTCGCAAGACAATTCCCATGCCTTACTGTGGCACTGAGGTCCTTGAAGGCAATGCCAGCAGAGTACAAATTCTGGCAGGAATGTTGGAAGGTTTAGTCCTGGCAACAGCCTGTGCCTACCTAACTACATTTGGAGAGGCTCATTACCAGAAGGCTGGCCAACAAGTAATGATTTTTTTGGCCAGTGACTCATGAGAGATGTAAACTTGCAATAAAGTAAGTACAAAGAAATATTGTGCTATCAACTTTGTCTTTCAAAATCATAAAATATGTTTTGAAACAGTTACACAGTGTTCTGTGTCCTTGGCCTAAATGGCCTGGAGCACACAACCATATAGAAGGATTAGGAGGACCGCACTGGGAGCCATGTCCATTCCTTAATTCCCTAGAACGCAGGAAAGGGGGAGGTACACTGAGAAGGGGACGCCTTAACTCCAAAGAGAAAAGGGCATTCAGGACGACAGAAGATGGTTAAATAGGCCTGAACAAAAACATACTATCCCTGGTATGATGAAGAAATGGGCGACAACAGGGGTAGAGGGATGAATTTTTGTAGCTATTCAGGCAGCTACGTGAGTCACCAGCTGAGCAGACAGATCAGAGCCAAAGCAGATAGCAGAAGGCAAAATAATTTGAGAGGGGATGATCAAAGGATTCAGAAGGGACTTAGATCATTTGGTCCATGAGCAGCAGAAGCAGCATTTGAATCTGGGCCCAAAAAGAGCTTCCCAAAGGATCACTGCAGTTGGCCGAGAACCAATAGGAATGCCCAAGTTGTAATGTGGAAGGTGAACAGGAAGTGGTTGGCAGTGAGCAGGAAGAAGGGAAGAAAAAGGAAGTGGATTCTCATATGTTTGTAGCAGCTAATGAGATAGCTGGGGCTGCTATATCAGTGACAGAGAAGGGGAACAAAGGGAGAAAGGGAAAGAGGCAACAACAGTATTAGGGAACAGGAAGAGAGAACTAGGGAAAGTGAGAAAGTGGTAAAGACGGAAAGGCCAGGCTGGTGTGGCCACTCTTCTCTGTGCCATGTGTAAAAAAGACTTTAGAGATTAGTTTCATCTAAGCACAGGTGGTGGTTCTGGTTAAGATCCTATCCAAGTGTATTCATCTATGCAAAGCATTAAAAATGCTTCATGACAATGACCTGGTCTCCTCTGTAAATCATCTTGAAGACAATATCCAGGAATCTCAGAGGTGACCTCAGGGGCCCTCTGGTCCAACCCATACTTGCATAAAGAAATCCTTCTACAACATAACCATCAGGTGACTAGTTTTTGTGTGAACACCTTAAGTGAGGGAGAAACTCATTAACTCCTGAGGAAGCTGAGGCCACTTCTGGACAGCTCCAAATGTTAGAAAGTTTCTCCTTACATCACACCCAAATTTGCTAGGTAGCAGCTGTCACCTGTCCAACTTCTGCAGTTAAATGAACATGACAGTCATTCAAAAATCTGAAGGTGGCTCTCAAGTCCTGCTCTATTTCTCCTCTTCTTGAGGGTAAAAATCCTCAGTTCCTTCAAACAATCCTTCAGAAGCATGATCTCCTCAATGCATGCATGAAACTTTAATTTGGACCAATGAAACCAACAATCTACAGATGAGGAAATGAAATCTTAATTGAGATAAGCAAGAGGTTGATTTTAAAAATAAGAGTTACGAACCTTGGTGTTTTCATTTCCCACAGATAACAAATCAAAGAAGTCTGAAGCTGAACTGGCAAGTAAGTGGTGATAGTCATTGGTGACCGTCATGTTTGTTAGCAATCTCAGGCCAGCCAACTGTACATCTGAATTCAAGGCAGAGGAGATAGTCTCCTCACAGATTTGGCTGATGTACACCTGAAGAAAAGAAAGAAAAAACAAGATACACTACTGAATTTCATCCAGAATGAAATAAAATCAGGCAAACGCAGAAGCTTTCTCAAGTTATCTGCATAATATGTCCTCCTTACTGTGTAGAGTTCCTTAAGTGAAGAATCCCCAAAGCCTTGTTGTGGTAAACAAAAAATGGGCAAAAATAGGGCACGCTTCTTTCCAAAGTTAGTTCTTCAGGGATAAAAGGAGGAAAAAGCAAGTATTCTTTTAATTCACTCAGTGATGTGGGAGGTAGGTTAGGTTAACATAGCCTCAAAATATTGCTATTAGCAAAAAAAGCAGCTCTAGGGCCTATCAAATTGTCAAAAGAATACAAAATTATCCTGACAATCTGTTCTACTCTATAAACAACTAAATTATACCCAGAATGAACTTAAAAGGCAAACTTTCTACAGTAGAGAGATTTCTAAGATTCTAATAACTTTGTAGTTTACATAGAGGTCCAGCCTAAAAAAATTTTTGTAAAGGACATTAATAAGGAATGCATTCAAAGGAAGCCTATCAGGATAGCAAGAGGGCCTGCATCTATTCATAGGAGGTTATATTGGGAGGATCTGGCTTCCATAAGTAGATTCAAGAGAAATCTTCAAAGTATTTAGATGGCACTGAAAGATTAAGAGATCCCACTGCTAGGCCAATACCTCAACGAAGTCAAAGACAGAAACAAATATTCTGTATATAACAAAACGTTCATAGCATTTCTTGTCATAGCAAAGAACTGGAAATAAAGTAGGAGCATATCTATTTGAGACTGTCTAGACAGACTATTAAAGGAACACAAAGGATTACTGTAATATGAGAATTCAGAGAAACATTGGAAAATTTATGTAAACTCATGCCAAGTGAAGTAAACACAATTAGGAAAAGAATATACATAATGACAACAACATAAATGAAAAGAATAATAAAACAAAATTTAACATTATCTAATTATAAAAAATCTTGGCCACAGAAAAGGGATGAGTAAATACATCTGGTGTGTGTTGTCAGATGTGGTCAGTATGTAAGTTTTGCTTAATGAATTTTTGCCCCTTTATTACAAAGGAAGGCTCAAGGTGGAGGGAGAGGGGCATATATGGAAACGACAGTCATGTGAAAACAAAGGCATCAGTAAGTTCTTTTTGATAATAGAAGGGGAAAGAATAAAGGATTTTCAATGGAGAAGGGTCACAAATCTGGATTTGGAAGGGACTTTAAAGGTCATCTAGCCCAATCCCCCTCATTTAACAAATGAGGGAACTGAGGCCTTGAGTTACCATGTTATGAAGGTAGCAAGGGAATAAGTAGCAAAGCTGGTTTTGAACTCAGGATTTCTAATTCTCAATCCTTTGTTCTTTTTACAGGAGGATTAGACTTGAAGTTTGGACCCAGAGGACAGAGTAAAAAGAAAAAGGAAAATTGCAGACAGGCAGGTTTCCAGTCTACAGAAGGAAAACTGCTCTAACAGAGCTGGCCAAAACTAAAATGGGCTACCTCAGAGGATAGTGAAGCCTCCATCAATGGAATTCTCAAGCACAGCCTGGTTAATCATTTACTGGAGACGTTACAGAGGGGTTTTTTTGGTTCAAATATGAGTCAGACTACATCACCTCTGAGGCAATTAAATATTTCTATGGGATTTGAGAAGAAAGGGACTTTAGAGATTATTTACTTCAACCTTCCCATAATAAAGCCTCAAAAGGTTAAAGGATTTCTCCAGATTAGCATAGCTAATTAGTGGTCTATAGGACCCATGTCTCCAGTCTGGCGCTTCTGCTACCATACCACATTACCTCTAATACCAAAAACCTCATAAAATTTTATTTATGGGCCCATTCTATTTCATTAGAGCTCTACACCACATCAGTTATCTTCAAAACGTGAGGGCCTCTCATCCTTTATAACTGATATATAACACACTTCTCTAGAATTCTGGGGTTCACATACAATTTTTAAAAGATTTGCCCCCAAATCTTTAAAAAATGTGATCTATATAATTTTCATTACTTCCAAATCCCTCATTTCTCAATATTTGTAAAGATCAACTCTAAAATAAAGTAACCCACATGTATTTTCAATTATTATTGTTCAAATAATTATTTGTTTCTCTTCAAGCAAGCAGCTCTCTAATTCTCAGTCTGTCTGGCGTCCTTCCTTAACCCTGGACTATTTTCCCATCACAGGTAGGTCACTCTGTAACTCAACTAGGAGCTTTCTCCAGACTCTAAGATGATGCTGGGTTCCACCCCTTGGCTGGCCGATTCTCCAAAGGGTTCTTTTTGACCCTCTATAGAGGGTAAAGTACCTTATTATACTGTTAAGTAAAAGCTTGTTGATTATGATTTCCCAATAAAATTATACAATTTATTTTTAATGGCCTTTTAACTTTTTATAAATAATTTTCCTTGTGTTTTAATGTCACTCACCTTAATTTCCTTCTGATTCTGAATATTCATACTTAAGTTATTTAGTGCATTTAAAGCCTTCTCTTTAACTCTGGGGTTGGGATCTTTCAGTATGTTTCCAATAACTAAGAGACCATCCAAATTACGAATGACATCCTAAAAGAGAGAAAATAAGATTATACTTTCACCACTTTTGTTTTTTATATTTAGCTGCTCTTTCCTAATTTTTGGATTTCATCTAACTTTTCAGTTCCCCCAGACAATTCTCTAAGACTATTAGGAGTTTCCTATGCCAACAAAATCATAGGCACAGGTAAAAGAAAGAATTCAAGTGACTGGGCAGCTGGGTGAAGCAGTGGCTAGAATGCTGGGCCTGGAGTTAGGAAGACCTGCTTTCAAATCCTGTCTCACACAGCACAAAGGCTATGTGACCTTGGACAAGTGACTTAACTTCAGTTTGCTGTACTTTCCTCAACTGTAAAATGGAGATAATAATCTCCCGGGGTTGTTATGATGATCAGATGAGATAAATTGTAAAATGCTTTGCCCAGTGCCTGGCAGTATTTCAGTGTTAGCTATTAAGTAATTGTTCTAACACAGAACAAATAATTTTCCATAGTTATCTGTACCATGTTATCCTTCAAAACACTGCAGTAGAATATAAAGTCAATCTTGCACAATTTATACAAAGATCTCAAAGCAATTTACAAACATAATTAAATTTCACTAGATGGTGCAATGGATAGAGCAATGGGCCTGGAGTCAGGAAAACTCATCTTCTCAAGTTCAAATCTGGCCTCATATACTCACTGCAGGACCCTGGGCAAGTCACATAAACCTGTTTGTCTCAGTCTTTTCAAATGTAAAATGAGCTGGAGAAGGAAATGGCAAACCACTCCAGTAGCTTTGCCAAGAAAACTCCAAAATGGGTTCACAAAGAGTCAGACACGACTGAAACAACTGAACAACAACTCTTGAAATAAGTATTTCAATTTCTATGTTACAAGCAAACCTAGAAAATGGCATGACTTGCCTAAATGATTCTTTGAGAGCATATTAAGCACCCTCCTGGCTCCTCTACTGAAAGAAAAATCAATTGCTTCACCTGCTTATAAAGGGAAAACCCCCATATCTATATGCTTCCCAGGATAAGCTAACAAAACAGAACAAGAAATTAACAAAATATTTCATTCTTTTGTCATAACTGAGTTTTGCTGAGCAAATAATGCAACTTATTTAACAAATAAACTTTTATATACACCTAATGGTGAAGACAGCAGCAGTTTTTTGATTTTGTTCTCTCTCACCCTAAATCTTAACAGGTTAGGAATAGACTTCTTTCCAGAGTGTGAGGAGAATCGGGCTGGACCAAAACACAATTTAAAAATCAACTGAAAGTCTTAGGCCCATTTCTCTATTCTGGGAAGTCAAAAAAGGAAATATGAAATAAGAAGGAACTATTTAAAGTCAGGCTTTTTAGTACAGCTGTGAAGTGTGCTACTTTCAGAAGCAGCTTCCAGGAGCCTTTTCATTCAAATGAACAAACCATAAGGCATTGACAGATACAACAGCTTCCTGGACGTATTGATCTGTTTGCAGAACTACAACCTGCAGCTGCTAACGTAGCAGAGACCATAAGCTCTGTAACAGATTCACTGTCTCTAGTCACAGGTTTACAGATCTCGAGCTGGACAGGCCCTTAGAAGTCACCTAGCCTACCTGACCCCCATATACTTATTTTTTTTAAACTGAGGCCCAGAGATGTTCTGTGATCTTGCCACATGGATACAAAAGAAACATGAGATGCGCAAATTTAGAGAATCTACCCCAAATGTTCACAAGGTCTATTTGTGCCCAACTTACAGTAGAGCATTCCCAGCTCATGTTGGTTTGATCAGTCACAGTCGGACACACCGTAATTTGAGTCTAGCATAGGGATGTCATTTTGGTTCTCCTTGAGAATGAAGGAGAACAACCAACTGCCAATTAAACAGCAGAATCAGGATTTGAACACAGGTCCTCTAACTCCACATTGATCATTCTTTCCACTGAGCCATGATGCCTCATGGCCAGCAGATCACTTAATAGTTATTGCTTTCATTTTCTATTAAAATGATATATATTTTTAGATTAACTATTTCATGCAATTGAGGGATAAAAGGGACAACAATCCTGCAAAAGATGAATCTAATTTAAATACATTTGTGACTACATTTTAGGAGATCTGAATTCCTAATGGTCTTAGAATCACCAACTGTTACAGCTGCAAGGGACCTTGGAGATGATTTACAACTTGACATTCCTCCCCCATCCCCATTTTACAAATGAAGAAACTGAGGCCCAAAGAACGGAGGTATCTTACAGTTAGACAGCAGTAGAGCCAGGACTAGAAGGATTCAAGTTTCCTGACTCCCAGTCTAGTACTTTTTCTGGGTTTTTTTTCTTAGAAGTACACTGCAGAGCATGGAAATGGTGAATTCAAAAAAGCTTTGTTCTTTAAGTGACATTATGAAATGTAGGGAATTAGGTGAGTGTGAGCTAGGGTGAACTAACACAAGTTTCTTGGGTCCTGTGATTTTGAGAGCCCCACAAGGCTACTTTCTGACAACTCTGAACCAGGCTTCAGGGGAGAAGAGAAGCTCCTATATCAAAGCTCCTTAGATCTACCCAACAGGTATATATAATTGCAGCTGGGGCGCTAGGAAGAACTGCCTTCTTGAGGTTAGTAGCTTAGTTGATGGTGAATCTCAGAAAGAGGAACGCCTCCTGTTATGATGATAGGGGTTGCATCTTCTCTAAATTAGTTCCTCCCTTTGGATCTATGGATAAAATTTAGGAGGTCCAAGAACTTGGATGGGAAGAAAAATTACATCTTTATTTTCACTAACATTTAACTGAAATTTGGCATTTCCTTCAGTTACAAATTAAAAAAAAAAGTAATATGATTGTGAGAAAAGATCCACAGATTTCACCAGACTGTTAAAAGGGTACATGACATACACATAAAAAGATTAAGAAGCCCCACTCTAAAGGCGCAATAAAGCATTCAATCTCCAATAAAATAAATAAATTTATTTTCTAACCTGGCTGATTCTACTGTGGAATAGGCACAAAGGAAGCCTGCTTCATAAGAACAGATTACTTACCTGATTGACTGAAAAAGCGGCACTGTTACCCAGTGTAATCAAAGCTCTTTCACGAATTAAAGGATCCTCAGTTGACTCTAGCAAGCAAATGAGTTTTTTAAGATGTTGAGCATCCAGTATACTAGATGATTTGGTACAGTCATCCTCTGTCAAATACATAGAGAAAAAAAAAAGAAGAAAGAAAAGAAAAAAAGTCATTTAGATTTATTGGATACTTAAACTATTGATTTCTGTCTGTTCTAAGACTGGGTCAATTATGAAACAGTGTTAGTAACTAATACAGATTTAGGTATATCTTTATAAAACTTTATTTTAGAAACCTTAAACATGCTGCTCCTCTAATTCTTAAGGCTTCTACCTTGATTCTGTCCTCTTCTCCACTCACACATGTCATCAGGTTATAGAAGGGGTTCTTTTGTCATCAATGGTTTGGCATAGATAAATTCTGACATTAGAAGTGACTCAGGGGCAGAAACCATTATTGCTTTTCCATATCATATTACTTGCATTTAGTCCAGTGCCTTATATATGACTTAATAAATATTGCCTGAATTGAATCATGAATGAAGATTTATCAACTTTTATATTGCAGAAACTAAAAATATGAAGTTATGGTAATGTGGCAATGTGTACATTCAGAGGTAGTCTATAAGAAATTAAAATTCACTTTGTCTCCTTCACCTATATGTGCACTTGAACACATGACCTCTGAGGTTCCTTCCAGCTCCAAATCCTAGGCTATGAATCAAATAATAAGCCTTTTTGAGTGTCTACCCTGTGCCACGTGCTATTCTAGGCACTCACCAGATAATAATGAAACACTCACAAACACTGCCATCTGATCTGCTGATACCCCCTAAGAACTTCTAGATCTTGCCATCTACTCTACTGATGTGCCTGAGAATTTCTGGTTTCTTACAACTGAATTCTTTTACGTGCTGTCTCCTCCAACTACAGGGTGAGCTTCTTGAGCAAAGGGCTTTCTAAATTTTTCTATTTAAATCTCTAGCCCTTGGCATAATGTTTTGTACGTAATGAGTACTTGGATGATTTTGCATTCACATATGCACACATATTTACACCTATGTTTTACTTATTTAGAAGCCAGTAACTGAATTTTACATGATATCCTAGTTTAATTGGCATTTTGCTCAAAAATTAAAAGAAAACAAAAAAAACAAAAACCTAAACCCTATACCATTAACAACCCCCTCCCCCCACATATAAAAACAAATAAACAAAAAAAAAACCACCACAATTTCTCCCCTGGCCTATGATGTAATGCTAAAAGGTCGTTATAAATATGTTCTTGAATAACTATTGAGTACTGTCAGGGAAGGATTCAGATATAGATTGTGGGACACACTTAAGAAGCTTTTAGCAGTTGGATAAGCAATCCACTGAAGCATTTAAAAAGTCTGATGATTTATTGCACTGGACATTTATTAAATAAACCCTTCAGTCTCCAATTATTTCCACAAAATAGGACTTCAATTCAATATAGAGCTATTAAGTGTCTACGTATGAGTTCTTGTCTAAAAGCCTTTTCACAAAGGACATCCTGACTACGTTTAAAAAAATTTAAGTAAAGCAATCATTGAAACACAATTTTTCTAAGCTATAGATAATCGAATTCACTGTCTCTTCCTACCTAATTGTATGGATAAAGAAGGAGGTCCAAAGAGGTTAAATGACTTAATAGACTCACATTATCTTAGGGTTAAAAGGGATCACAGGGACCCAACAGTATAAGGCAAAAATTACTAGACTGGAAGTCTGGAGACCTGATCTCACGCTGGATCCACCACCTACTACCTGTATGACTGTCACTTCAGGCCTTATTTTCTCATCTGTAAAATGAGATGACTGAATTAAATTATATGGCCAAGTCATATAGATAGTTTCAGAAAAAAGAAAGCAAAGGACTACTACAACTACCTAGACTCAGAATTCTGCTGGACCTGGATTCAGATCCTGTCTATACTGTTTACCTGTGTGACTTTGGATAGGCAAGTCATTTAACTTCCCTGGGCCTCAGCTGTCCTTATTGGTAAAATGAAGTAGCTGGACTAGATGGGCCCATTCCAGCTCTAGAGCTGTAATCCTAGGAATTAGAAGAAACCTTGAAGATTACCTAAGGCAACCACTGGATGACCTCTACTACATTTGTGGTACACAGTCATGAAGCATCCCCTGAAAGACCTGAAGGGGTAAGGAGTCTACTACTTTCTAAGTCAATCTACTCTACTTCGGAACAGCTCTGATTTTTCTATATATCTAGCCTAAACCCCCCTCTCTGCAAATTCCAACTACTGCTCCTAATTCTGAATTCTTGGACCAAGTACAGCAAATCTAATCTCCCTTTCCAATATGATAAGTCTCCAAATACTTGAAAGACAGCTGTCATGTCTCCCCATGAAATCAAGTTTCCACATAATATAATCTGATAGCAATATTACAAATTTACTCAATCAAATATTATCTCCTTTAACATTTTCTGTCATGAAACCTAATTTTCCAAAATCTGATTTTAATTCTATACTATACATATTTCTCTAAGATGGCTTATTGTTTTTTAAATTATTACACTCTATTTCACATTCATTAGCAAAATGTTTTGAGTTCCACATTCTCTTCCTCACTCCACTCCTTCTTGCACCTACTGAGAAGGCAAGCCATATAAGACGGCTTGTTGTTTAGAAGAATCCGTTGTTTATTAGAAGTTGGCTGTTTTTAAGGCTGCTGAGAATTATACAATTTTGGGGCTAGCTGGGAACACTGACAACTGTGGGTATTCTAAATGTCCAGTGATCAGCAAAGCAACATCCCATCAAAGAACTGAACTTCATCAATATTGACATTTTTGTGATCAATGAAACCAGAAGACAAAAAAAAGATGCAGCTAGATTGGAAGAATGGTTCATAGGCACTCCTTGGAGAGGCAAAGAAAAGAGTTGGTTTCATTGGGTGTCTGCTATTTCATGTGGCATTTATTAGTTTCCTCTTGTAGTGCTCACAATGAGCGTAAGTAAAAGAAGTACCATGAATATAAGTGTAGCTTATGTACCAACCCTGGGGACATTGGATGAAAAGGTGAAGAAATTCTAGCAATAATCAATCAATCAACAGGTATTTATTAAGAGCCTACTATGAGCTAGGCACAGTGTGAGGCGACACAATACAAAAATAAAGAACAAGACAATCCTTACTTGCAAGAAGTATAATTCTAATGAGGAAGACAAGTACCCATGTAAATGTACAGCATAAAGAGATAGTTAATAAATACAAACATATACAAAGTAGTTAAATACAAGTTTTGGGAGGGAAGACATTAGAAGTTGTAGGAAAGCCAGCATCTTAAAGGAAGACAGGAACTCTATGAGATGAGGCATGGGGAAGGACCAGAGCAAAGGTGCAGAGATGGGACATGTGTGTCTAGTGTGAGGAACAGAAAGAAAGCCAGTTTGGCTGGATCAGAGTGCAGCAGTGGTTGGAAAATTAGGTTGCTAGGAACTTGCTAAGGATCCTCTAAACCAAGTTGACATAATTTGATGATTGGTTAATTTAAAGTGAAGGTAGGTAATGAAAAAAAATTAAAATTAAATTAATTAAAAATCTAATTAATAACTTCCTGCAGAAGTTTATACTAAACTGCTCCCATAAGGAGACCAAAAGAACACAGAAAATGTCTTAGACAGAAGATCCTTGCTAAGCAGTCTCATGGCTAAAGGCAATGCCAATTTAGAATGTAAACTCATTGGTAGAACATCATGGTTAAAAAGGAGAAAACTGAGTACTGGGAAGGCAAAATGACATACTTATTTAATAAGAAATCAGTAGCACCTCTTTGTAAAGCAGCAAAAAGCAGAGGCAAACACAAGTCTTCAAACAGCTTGGTCTAAGCTACAACTACATCATCACAAGAGCCTCCATAGAGGATCCCTAGATGAATGAAAACAAAGATGAAAAAAGAAACATTGATCAGTGTCTCTACCGTGATCTATTTTTGCCAACTAGCATTGAAATCATCACATTTAGATCCTAACACTTCAGCTCCTTCAAGAGCTATGGTAGGAAACCATATGTGCACCTAAGAAGTCAAGAAGAGTGGCTATACCAGATAAGAAGAAATTGATTCTGGAAGCGACACAATCTGGGAAATGGATCAAATATCACTTACTATTTGGCATTAAAAGGTCGTTACAACCTGACCCCTCTTTATCTCTCCAACCATCTTTTTTTTCCACTCTGTACGCTAAAACAGAGTTAAATAGAAATCAGCAGGCTAACCGCCCAACTTTCCAACCTTCTTACACACTCATGCACTCTACAATTCCTTCATCCATATGGGGTCTATGTGCTATTTCCTTTCCCACCTAGATGATTTTCCATTACTTGTCTGATATGTCTGTCATGTTTATTCACTTCGTCCTTGGTTTCTTTCACAGCTCAGTAATTACCTTTTTTAGGAAGCCTTTCATGGTCTATTCAGCTAATGATGGGAATAGTAGCTAATATTTACATATACCTCTTTAAGGTTTGTTCTCAAACTTCTTGTTACTCTTCAGAACCAATTCAACCCAACTACTCTCTTCTAAGTTACCAATGTCTTAATGAATACATCTTGTGTTTTTCTCAGTCCTACACTGTTTGACACTGTTGACTATCCTTTCCTCCTGGATACTCACTATCCTTAGTTGCTGAAAATTATTCGTACCATCTATAAAAATTCTCTATCTGCATACTTGGGGAAAAAACCTACAAGCTTGGAAAGTTAATTTTCCAATCTGCTTAAAAAATGTTCCAAACAAAGTGTCTGACGGGGTTTTGAACCTATTTGTTAAAAATAGAAAAATGCAACATGCTCCAATTAGTTTGTAAGAACAACTAGCTGGCATCAGGGAAGATGGAAATTTACAACTGAATTTCAATAAAAACTTCTGCATAGTTGGGTAACGGATAGAACAATAATGATTCAGTGGGCACAGCCAACAATAGATTTCTTTCACTTGAATCTAGGTGCCTTTGTGAGGGTTTTTTTGTGTTCTGACAGCTGTTAAAATTGAGTTTTGAAACAAACTGAACATAGAACTAAGACTTCAAATCACTGTATCACAAAGTATTAAAATAAAAAAATTCAAAAGTAATTTGGGATAGTCAATTGAAATGCTTGTATTAGATAAGCATTATTAGTTTTACTGAGAGCAAAATCATGTGCCATTAATAACAAATATTTCAAAACATTCTCATCCAATCCTTTTAAAATCTCTATTTGGTAAAACTTAAAATTGTATATAATTATATATTATGCAACTGATAATTGCATAAACATACATTGCAAGTAGATAGCCTCAGTTTTTTTTTAACTGATAGAGGTACATGACCAAAAAGTTTGGATATTATTGGTCTAGACTGTGCCATGCATTGGAAGGACAGCCCACTGAGTCAGTCCATCAGCAAATCTAGCCAGAACAGTTGCTGTCAGTGGACAATGAGTGGGGAGGAATAAACAGGAAGATTTGGATGAACTGCATGAGGCAAATTACACAGAGATTTTAATGATCTCAAGCTGCTTCCTGGCACAAAAACCTTTTCTTCAACATAGATATCCTCCCAGTGAAGCTATATGGTTGCAAATCTTGCACCATAATTTCTTAATGACAGTGATCTCTCCCCCTCCAGTTGATAGATACACGGTGAACACAAGCAGGCTGTAGCATATATTTAATGCTGCCTATGTGTTAGAACTGGCAAGAGGAGTATCATTCAGTAAATGTATGACTAACAAAGGTGAGTCACATAGAAAGATGGAGGGACATATGGTATTTACAAAACTCAGCTCCTGACACTTATTACCTCTGTGACCTTAGGCAAGTTTGAGCCTGTTTCTTCAAATGTAAAATGAAAGTTGGACTGTATGGCCTTGACAATGTCCACTTAAGTAGTCTCTTCTAACCAGCTGGGTAGTGTACAGAAGATAGAGCTCTGGATCTGGAGTCAGAAAGATCCGAGCTCAAATTTAGCCTAAGACATTTTCTAGCTTGTGACCTTGGTCGTGTCACTTAACCTGTTTCAGTTTCCCCAACTGTAAAATGGGGATAATAACAGCACCTAGCTCCCAGGATTGTGGGGGTGGGGAGAATACTTGTGGTATACAGATGTGATCTTAGGTCTTTATGGTAACTTCAGGTTCATGAGCTTATTTTTCTTTTAATTGAAGTAACTGTATTTCAACACAATTCTTTTCCTTTGTAGTTCTATGTATTTTATTTTACATACCTGAAAGCAGTATTCTAAAAAAGGGTCTATGGGCTTCACTAGAATGCCAACAGGGTCCCTGATACAAAAAAGGTTAAGAACCCTTCCTGCTCCTAAGACTTCTGACATTCTGTAGGTACCTGTTCAGCACTGGGGTGGATCTGCATTCTTAGCCATCAATCTTTCCTCTATGAGCAAGTCATTTTAATGTCAGTAAATAAGCTTTTCTAGTTATATAATGGGATAAAAGCACTGACCTGACAACGAAAATGAATCAAGAATGCCAAAGTGATTTGTTAAGTGATTCGTTGTTCAGTCAAGTCTGTCTCTTTCTAGCATTTTCTTGGCAAAGACAACTGAAGCAGTTTACCATTTACTTCTCCAGTTCATTTTACAGATGAGGAAACCAAGGCAAACAGGGTTAAATGGCTTGCCCAAGGTTACACTGCTAGCAAGTGTCTGAGGCCCGATTTGAAGGAGGAAGATGAGTCTTCCTGACTCCAGGCCTGGCACTCAATCCACTTTGTCACCTGGTCTCCCAGCTTAAAAAAATATTAGTGACAGAGCAAAAACATCATGACAAGAGGAGAAATACAACTTTAGGGAAATAATGTTATTTCCATTACTTCTGAGGAATATTAGATTTTCTTCAGTAGCTCTGGAGTCCTATCAGCTTAACATTACTGTCTATCATGAAAATTCAGTTAATATCCAGACCCTTAAGAATGGCTTTTAATCAAATGGAAGAGTAAGTTTGTACTGAGACAGAGGAGATATCAGTCAAAGTGCAGTAAGTTATAGATTATACGTATATCTACGTAGCCATATCTGTAGCTAGGATAAATTGGAGAAAATCTCGGAGGAAAGGCATTACTATTAAGGAGGACTGAGAAAGGCTTCCTGCAGAAGGTGGGATTTTAGCAGAGATGTCAAGAAAGCCAGAAGGCTTCCATTACATTAAAAATTTTTTAAAGAACCATCAAAGCAGTGGCAGAAATTTAACCCTCCCCATCTCACCTCCATCACCAACTATAGAGTCTAGTAACCTAGCCTCATACCCTAAAGAGGGTAGCCAAATACAAGAAAAGGAGGCGCACCTCGTTTGAACCTCACTACTGTGGGAGGCAGGGTACTGCTGTTACTCCATTTTACAGTTAAGGAAACAGGCTGGCAGAAGCGAAATGACTTGCCCAGAGCCACAGGGCTCACGTGTCTGAGGCTGGATTTGAACCTGACTCCTGGGCCAGCGCTCTTTCTGCCTGGCCGCCCAAATGCCTCAAGAGCATTTCATTCCACCGGCTTCTCCAGCCCAAGTTCCCCCGGGGCTGCCCAGGCCTCCAGCACCAGAAACGGAAGGCAACAGCGCCTGGGGTTCGGTCTCTCCTGCCCTTCCCCCAATCCCGGGTCTCCCGGGGTGGGGAGGAAGAGGAGCTCACCTGCAGGAGAGGAGGGGCTGGACCCCCGTTGGGGGGACGTCCTCCCCTGCTCCGCAGGGCAGCCGCGGCTTCCGCCCTCAGCCGCCGACTTCCGGCTCTTTTTCTCCCCCCAAGCCAGTCGGTAAACGCAGTAACAAGCGCCGGCCCCGAGCACTAGGCCCGCTACCCAGCCCGCCTCCTGGGCTCTGCCCATGCTGTCCCCTCGACCCCAGGCACTGCCCAGGCTGCGAGGCTGCTCCCCGGAGACTAGAGCCAAGGCTTCCAGCACCGTGCAGCCCAGCGGGAACACGTGTGAGCGGGTTGCTAGTACGCGTGCGCGCAGGGGCGGGCTCAGTCGAGGAGGAAAAGGGGATTTCAGTTCCGCCTGCCCTCCCCCACCTCTGGCGGCCTAGAAACTGTATCTACCCGCAGTGCAAACTTTTTTGTCCCAGGGATCTTCGCTGCCCCTGACTTCAGCGGCAGCAGGGATAATCCTCACGAGTGCTCTGCACGCGCACACACAACAAGAACGGTTTTTATTTTGTTTTATGTGTCCAAGAAGCTAGGGGTTAGAGTTTGTTGTGGGAGTTGCAATTGGGCATTTACCTACCTCATCGTATATAACCACACTACAGATAATTCCTCAGCTCTGCGTGCTTTTTCGGGTTCAGGGAGAGAAGCAGAGAGGGAGAGATTTCCCTCCATTCGTTAAAATAGGAGGATGGAAGAGGCAAGGGCCAATCCACCTAGGAAGATGCTCTAGAAGCCAAAATCCATGGATAGATTGCAAGGGTTTGTGAACTTGGTTTGGAAAGAAAAAACCCACTTATTTCAATATAATTGACTTCTTTTCTTTGGAGTGCAGGCTTTGGAAGCCCCCTCCTTGAACTCCTTGAATTTTCTCACTTCCCATCAAGGAAGTCTCTATCATTCATCTGAGGCTATAATCCACTCTACTGGCCTTTCATTGCTTCTACGCCCAAGCTACTAATTCTTTGTTACCCTTAACCTAACCCAGCCCTCCACTGTCTGTTACTTTGGGATGATCCTCAGCTACTTCCCACCTTTGATCCTATCTAGACTCCATTCTCAGGATGTGTTCCTCCTCCAGTCACTCTGAGGATGGGATCTGGACCCCAAAAAGAAAAACCTAGGACATTCCCACCTGGCCAAATCTCTGGTGTTTGCCTGAGGCTATAATCCTATTAACTGCCCTTTCATTATCACAGTCTCTGAATTGTTACCTAGCTCACCATTATCCATTTAGGGTCTCTATTTTGTGGCCCCAGCCATTTCCCATCCTTAATTCTATCAGAACTCCATTCTCCCTTGGCCACATGGTCCAGGTCCCTGGTTCTGTTTACCCCAGCTTACTGGCCACTCCCATCCAGATCTTCCTTAGACCTCACCTCTAGTCATCCCAAACTACTTGGCCACTCCTAGATTCCTCCACAGTTTTTCTGTATATAAGGTTTATCTCCTTTCCATTAAGGTGCTCAGATTCTTAAAATCTGGCCCATTTGCAATAGTGATACAAATGTTTAGATTCATTAGAGTCTGGCCAATATGATGGATTCTTTAAATTTCACTCCCCCTTTCCCCCCATCAATGTTGTATGGGACAGAGACCACTTACTCAAAAATAAAAACAAAGACTTAGATACCTTGAAAGTAGAAAGGAGTTTATTGCTTTCTCATGAAAAAGGGTACCACTTGTAGTTTCCATTGCTGGCCAGGAGAGTATGAGCTCGGTACAGAAATCAAGGCTTATTTATACCCTAATTCTAGCTCCTCCTCCCTAACCCCCTTCCCCTTATCCCATTGGCTGAGCTTTCAGGGGTACAGTCTATTCACGGAGACACAAGTTTGCCCAGGGACAAGAAAAGGTGGGAAGCTTTTCAAGGGCAAGAAGTTCAGGTTGGGGGCAGGGCTATTCTTTCTGCTAAGTACTTAAAAAAACGTTCTGAGCAGGGGAGGGTTTTGAAAGCAACAATCAAGAACTATTAACAAGAACCATTGACCCCCCCTGAGGACGCTTCATTTCTGGGAGATCATCTCTCACAATGTTCGAATAAACCTTGTCTTTGGCTGAAAGAAGGCTTGGGTCGAATTCATTTGGGCAGGACCCGCATGTCTGTATTTTGGGGTCCCAGCACTACTAAACCTCAACAATAACCTGTCGCTGGACTAACTCAGCTCTCCACAAGAGCAAGGATCCTATACTAACTCTGAAGGGATAAGGCCAGCTTAACCTTCTATCTCGAATGTGCATTGATGAGGCGGGAGACAAGATGGAAGCAACTCCGTTTAATTTTAACAAAGCATTCACTTAAGTAGTAAAGTAACAGGAACTTCTTCTCAAGTCACGATGACGTAGATCTCATGCTGTGCTAAGGACAGTGCATGTACATCCTGTGCACTTATCTGACTCCAAGCACAGATAAACTGCTAATGACCATACAATAACTAGGGTAGTTAAAGATTGTTAAAGATCCATATAATGGAGCACCCAACCAGGCGACCTTTGCTCATAGATCAGTGAGACCTCATGAACAGCCTGTGGCCCTCTACATCCTTACAGATCCCTAACAATAACCATTTTATTTATACATTGAAATATATTATTCTGAGAAGAGGGGGTCTATAGGCTTCAATAGGAGTTCACTACACACAAAAAAAATCTTGAAACTAAACGATCCAGCTTAGGGCAAACATTTGTAGTCTTCATTTCCTGTCATTATTTAAAAAACTATGCCCTAGACCTAGAATGAAAGGTTCAATGGATTTGGAGTCAGAGAACGGGCTCTCAAATCTTGCTTCTAGCATATGCCACCTGCCTGACCTTGACTAAGCCCTTAACCTCCATCTCTAAGCATTGCCCCTGGCATTTAGTAGTGTTGAAAGGAAAATTCTTCATCTGGGCTTTCACCCTAATTAAGGAGGCAAAACTCTGGGCAAAGAGAACTAAAAGGATTTTAGTTAAGTATGTCAAGGTAGCAACATATAGATGGGCTGATCCATGGCTTCAAGTTGAGGACAACTTTTATAGGGAACTTCACATTAAAGATTGTTCCACCTCAGCAAGAGGTGGGCCTTTGAATCTCAGTTTCTCCTCAAAATAGCAAGAATGTGAAAATTTGCAGGTAGGGGTAAGTGAATAAGACATGTGATACAAAAACTGAAGATTTGGTGTCTCCTTCCCCACCAGCACCTCCCCCAACACTGTTTGGTAAGCAGGCCTAGGACTAATGCATAACTGAATCTGATGACTGTGGGAGCTAAGTCCAAAGTTTTTCCTTTTTGGGATTTATCGCCCATCCTCATCAAATCAACATAACTTTCAACAGAAGGGGCTTAAAGTTTATTGAATGGAATTAAATCGAATTTTTCAGGACCTCTGTTTAGCTATCTTTTTGGCATTTAAAGCTGTTTTCACAACCTGACCAGAGTCTAACTTTCCAGGGTTATTATGTATTACTCCCCTTTACCCTTTGTAAGGTCCAACCAAGATGGCCTACTTAAGGTTTCTTATGTACAAGACTCCATCTTCTATCCCCCACACTTTGAACAACAACAACAACAAAAAGGCCTGTTACCCCAGGCCTAGAATGTACCAACCTCCTGAATCCCTGGCCTCCTCTGAAGCACCACCTCCTACATGAGGTCTTTCCTGAAAAATTCAATTGCTACTGCCTTTTTGACTCATTTACTTTGTATTTTTGTATGTATACTTTATATGTATGCATATTATCTCTCTATTGGATGTAAGCTCCCCAAAGACTTTTACTTTGTTGTACTTTTGACTTGTTAACTAGTAATATGATACCTCCACCCCACACATTCAGAATATACTTGTATATTCATTATTATTTACAAGTTGTCTTCCATATTAGAATTTAAGCTCTTCAGAGCAGGCACAGTGCTAGTCCAATAAATAAACAAACAGATATAAATAGTAACTAGCATTTACATAAAGCTTTGTTACTTTTAATGTATTAACTCATTTGAACCTCACAACAACCTTAGGAGGTAAGTGATATTATTATTCTCATTTTACACAAAAGTTAACAGAGGGTGAGAGAAGATAAATGACCTGTCTGCTATTCACACAGCTAGCAAGAGCTGGAGGCAGTTTTTGAACTCGTCTTCCCGAACTCCAAGGCTAGCACCCCACCTGGCTGTCTTTCTGCATCCCCAGCGCTTAACGCAATGCCCGGCACACAGAAGGCACTTTTATAAATGCTTGTTGCATGAATGAGTGGCCTAGAATATCTGTTACATCCCACTCTCACTCCTCACTCCCATCTAAGTCTGTGATTCCCTGCACTGGTCTTACAAAACTCAGCTTGGCTACCACGTGGGCCAGGCCCGCTCAGGCGGTGGTCGTTTCTATCTCCAGGCGAGCGTGTGCCCATGGAGGTGGGGGTTGGGGGAGTCCCAGATCCGGTTGCCAGGAGCAACGCGCGGCAAAAGAGAACCTCGAGGCGGCGGCACACGCACAGAGTGGTGCTGGGGTGCTGCAGTCCTGGGGCTTCGCCTCTTCGTCCTCCTGTGTCGGCTCGTTCCAGCCCACCTGGGCAGGCCCCAGCCCGTCCCGCAAGCCCCAAAATGGCCTGCCCAGAACCATGCCAACTGGAGAAGAAGAACTATTTCAGCCAATGCTACTTAACCCAGGTGTTCAAGGTACTAGGGCCGTGAGGCACTCGGGCGGAGGAGGAACTGGGCTCCCGTCCCCGGCTCCGCGCCCCCCTCCCCCCCCCGTGTGGACACACCACATGCTCTCTGCAGCTTTTCTCCTCTCAGTCAATGATGTCCCACCCTCACCCTCAGCTCTCTCTGACCCTTACCCTTTTTCATTCCCTTTACTTCTCTTAAGCTCCTCTTTCTTTCCCTGCCACGATCACCAGGTTTTGCTTGAACCTTGGCCTGTCTGGAGCTGGCCATGCATTGTCACATCCAACTATCCGTGTGGCTTTGGGCAAATCACAACTTTTGGGCCTTGAGTTCCTTCATCTGTAAAATGACCACTAAAATCCTTTTCAACCCTAAATTGATGATACCATGATCTTCTCTCCTCCTTTTGCAAATCGACCTCTCAATATTATTGATTTAATTAATCTCAGCCTCTACTCTTAACTACTCACTTAGCCTGTCAAATCAGGCAGCATAATATGGTAGAAGCAGACTGCATGGTATGATGGGGAAGAAGAGTCAGAAAGAGACCTGGATTTCTGGTCTACCTTTGTATGTTTATTAGGACCATGGTTAAGTTGTATCACTTTTCTGATTGTTTCCTCATCTGTTAAATGGGAACAAAAATGTCTGTAGTCAAAAAGCTCATCAGGTTT